CTTGCAGACACAACTTGCAAATGAAACTGATCATTTCATCAGTCAGGGAAACAATTGAGACCAACACAGTTCAACTTGAGAACTAGACCATAAGTCTAATAACTCTGAAGATCAGATAATTACTGTTGGAAACAGTACAGTTCCCAATTGGCAAAATAGTAATTACCGGTGAGGGTGTGATGGTTTCCAGGGTCTCCTAGTATTTGCACTTCAGGAGAATACCTGACGTTGAGAGTTACAGTTCAAGAGATACATAATTTATATGAGAAATAGATGTAGTCCACGAACACTCAGACATAGAATATAAATATAGAAGTACCTTCTAAGCTTTTAGACATCACCAAGAAATACATAAGAGACATTAACAATATAATATTGTTCTTATGATTCTGTTCTACTTTATTTACTTAACCTTACTCTTAGTAGTCATAAACGAAATGAGTAAATTTCAAGCCTTCCTAGACAATCTCTATCTACAGAAACGAATCTTAGTTGGTCTAGACAACTCTGAGTCTATACAGGTTGTGTACCCAGTATGGGAACTGAGTTAATAGTTTTGTTTTATGTTTTGTTTTAAGTATTGCTTTGATACTTGATTTGTTTTAAGTATTATTTAATACTCGGTTTTGTTTAATATTTTTTTTTTAAGTATCATTTTGATACTTTAGACGTTTTACCAAAGTGTATTGCTTGATACCTTTGATTAGTTTCATTCATGCTAGACATGATCACATTTGTGTATTTAAAGACCACCTGATTCCAGGATAGAAAAGGTAGATTTGGACAGACAGTATTTCAATATACTTAGTTGAATGGTTACTCCTTTTATTTTCTCAGTCCACCTCTGAAGCCTCCTTTAGTTCTCAGCTCTTGCTGTCCCCCTGATAGAGTAGACTACCTGTCAAACTATCGTACTTTATACCTATAATGTAAGTAGCACCTTGCAAACATATTACGGGTTGTCCCCACCTAACACACATGGCCAGCACACCTCCCACCTTCACTCTACCATTCTTGGTCATAGTCCCTATTAAAGCAGCACTCAGCTGACTTTCCAGACTAGTTGTCCCAAAAATACTCTATTAACACTGTACCTCCTGTAGGACGAAAACTCGACTCACCTACAATGTTGAAATATCAAAACAATCCAAATGTTTCCCTGTTAGTCACACTACAATGAGGAGAATGACCTTTTATAGCAAGAATTCCGTAGACAATGTCTTCCACTATTAGGCAGAGACAACCTGGTAGACTTCAAAGTTGTCTAGGCCAAACAAGATTCATTTCTTTAGACGGAAATTGTCTAGGAAGACTCAGATTTCACTCATTTTGTTTATGACTACTAAGAATGAAGTAACGTAAGTAAAGTAGAATTGAATCATGAAGACAATATTATATTGTTAAGGTCTCTTCTCCGTTGCTTGATGATGTCTAAAAACTTGGTAGACACTTCAATATTCATATTCCACATCTGTGTTTGCAGACTACATCTATCTATTTTACAACTATGTACCTCCCTGATTATAACTCGCAATATTGGGTATTTCTTCAAAAATGCAAATACCTGCAGGCCCTGAAAATCACCACACCCTCTTCCATAATTTCGCTATTGCTAACTAGTCACCATGTTGTTCCCAATAGTAATTATCCTATCATCAGAGTCTTTAGACTTATGGGCTAGTTCTCAAGTTGAACTGAGTTGGCCCCAATTGTCTCTATCGTTGATAAAACGATCAGTTTCATCTGTGGGTTATATCTGAAGTGGTAGTCGTAATTACAACCTTCCTAGATCATCTGACTTTGAACCTCAATAACTTTATATCCAACTAACAGATTTCCTCCAGAGGACTTCCTACTAATTCGCAAGAAGCTATTATACCGGATTGATAGATAATCCCTCCATTAGCAATCCTTAGTTGCGCTGGGTAATAGGATTTAAATTATTGTTCTAGTATTGGGAATCATTCCTGCAACCGTAGTGCATTCCTGAACTCAGTTGTAATACTCTATGACAAACATTGGCTTCTGTGATAGTATTCCTCGGAGTTCTATACTCTTCTGATTATTATAGGGTAGGTGCAAATGTATTGGTTTCTCTTTGAGATCTTTTACCATTCAATATCATCTTTTGATGCGAAAACGTCCTGTGACCTACGGCTTATACCAATGACATCACATATTTGAATCCTAGTAACCTTCTGAGTAGTTGACATATTCACTCTGTTCTACTTCTCAGACCTAGCCAAAGGTCCCCTCTCATATAACTTGCAAACAGGATCCAGTCAGTCAGACGGCAGCAATGTATACAGTGTTATTCCTTCACCTTCAATTCTGTGGCATTATAGTCACAGGACGCAACTGAGATTGATAAGTATGATGAGGTGTGGACCCCATGAGGAGGCTGGAGGGGAGTGTTGGAAACCAGAAATTCCAATTCCGAGTGGGGTTACCCTACTTAGGGTGATTCCTAGGTATCGGATCCCACTATTCCTAGCATCCACCTCCTTAAAAGTATAGAGTTTCTTAGCTCCGACAACTTCACAGATCTACCTATCCACCACCTCATTCATGGTATCCCAACATCTCCAGACATGCTGGAAGTCTAGAAACCTAAAATCCTCCCAGCCTGAGACAATGTAGGATCTCGTAGTAACCTGGACAAGTCCCTTCCCCACTCCGAGAGTGCTCATGTCATCCAGTTTCTACAGACCCAATGTCTAAGCATGAAACCACAGAACATTCAGAAGATGAGGAAGTTGAAGTAGGAAATTTAGGGCTATCTGAGGACTCCCTAAATTGAGCATAGGCACTGCTGTTTTGGCCGGGTGTCGCCATCATCAACCATGGAATACCGGGCAGAGCCACAGATACTATCTCCCCAGAGCGTCAGGTAATGCTAAACAGCTGCAAGAGTCACCAGGACACTCGGAGCAACACCAATGCACCACCCAACTCACTTAATAGCGAAGTAAAAAATTTATCAAAAATAAAAAATGTTTGAAGAAGCCGTAAGAATCAGTTATAAACCAATTGGGGAATAGTCGACCCAATTGAGCAAGGGTGGAAGCATTGTCTATTGCGTTGTTCTCTGCAGGTGGCTTCGACTAAATTAAGGTAGGAAGGCCGTGAGTGCTTAAGAGGACAAATATTCCCACCAAGCCTTGCCCCCTTTTGTGACAAGAAATTCTATGGAGCGAACACCCCATAGATACAGGACCTAACCCTCCTAATCTCTCACTACCCCTCACCGGTAAGCTGCCCAAAATAGTTGCCGAAAATTGGACATTTATAATTGGCCTAGAGGAGCATCGTGTTTAACCTTTGCCTAGCCCATTCCTCCAATTACCAAGGTCATTATTAATCATCCAATTCAGGCAATAGTTGGTAAGGATCACACAACTATCACTGCTGTTTCAAGCGTGATAGAACGCCCCTTCGGGAAGAACTAATACCGTGCTACACCAGTGCGACTGCGGTAGCATTCACCGACCAAACACGGGAAAGCCCGATACATACTCGCACAAGAACAACAAATACGGCTGTGGCAAATAAACCGAATAAATCATTGACCATCCCACAAAAAGATAGACAGTATTCAGAATGGGCGGTTCGCTTGAGAACTGCAGAGTGCGGGGAGTTGGTACTGTGCATATCCAGTTGCCTGTTGGCGCTTCTTGCACTCCCTAAGGTTACCCCACACTGGCATACACTTTCGGCCCAATAGAGAGGTTCTGTGAAGGCATTAAAGCGCAGTGCCCGAGTATGGATGTCAGTGATAAGGCGGACAGCATATCCGTGCATAGAAATAAGTTCAGTAAAGTAGTGTAATCTCTGCTCATAAGATGCGCTCATGACATAATCCTGATCGCGCTACTTTACAGATTCCAATCCCGCGCACACAGTATTAATACCCTGCCTGTCTCATCACCCGTGTCCGTACCTGAGTATGTGGGCCACCGATGCCGTATTGGTTCCCCAAATTCGACCAGCGGCTAGAACGCACTAGACTTGAAAATTGCTACCGATAGTTAGTGCAAGTGATTGAAACTGGGAGGGGGGGGAACAGAGTTCATGGTTGAAAACTACGCCGAAGTATCCCAGGAGTAAAATTTAAGAGCTAAAAGGAAAAGGCAAACGGCAAGAAAGAGAAGTGACCTACAATCGGTTGGCACGAATAAATTTATGCTAGCAATGGTCGCTGACTCACACTATTTGTAAATAGGCAACGCCGATCCACTCGTTGGCCTAGCGCTTCATAGCGAGTCGAATTTGGAGGGCAATACCGAATACTGTATCTATACTTGTATTCTATACTCAGGAAAACATAAGATACCGTGCCGTACTCGTACTGGAAGCTATCATATGAACAGCAAAAGTACCCGCCCTGATTTGTCCGTATTTTAGCGGGGTATCAATGATTGTGCGAGCTCCTTTCTATTTTGTTTACTTTTTCCCGGGTCCCTTGCAGAATGAGATGGACTGGTACCGAAAAGAAAATGAATGGGAAGGGAAGGAAGGCATGGATTATGTTCAGGTCAGATTTGGCTGTTCGTGATAATATGCTGGGGTATCATAAGTCGTCGGCACGTTGCCAGGGTGGTTGAGTCCGTGCAGCACATGATGCTATTAGGCATCATGTGTGCGGATCCTCTGGACAAAAGAGAAAGGCACTGGCCGTAGTCTAATAATTATTATATTAACATAAGAAAATCGGAAACAATGAATGTATCTGGACGATTGGATGTTCTCTAAATCCTTTTGGCTGTGATATGGATACAGCGTTTGTGCAGAAATATCTATCGCGTGGGTTCGACCAGCCATTTTCCTTTTCATACCAGAGAATGGAGCATCCGGCACTGGGTTCCCTCCTGTGGCATATGAATTTGTGGTTCGTCTGCTTACTAACGGACCTCGGGCCAACACACTCGCAGCACCCAGAAAAACATTCACCCCAACACACCGGTTTCCCTCAGAGCTCTCTCGATAATCCTCCGAAATCCCACACCTCAGTCCTCCTCGGTAAAAAAAATAAACGCGCTCCACCAACTAGTGTAGACCCTCTTCCTCGCTTCCCTATTCAACTCCATTCTTTTTCCCTGCAGCTCCCTTCTCTCCACTATTCCAGCAAAAAGTAGTTGAACCTCAAAACCCCTCCCCCTCCTTGCAAATCGACTGGCTCACTGGTTTGACCGGGAAAACAGTCAATAGTGATGTCCTTCCTCGGCGGTGCTGAGTGTTCAACTGGACGCAATCCTCTTGCTCAGTTCACCAAACATGTTAGCAAGGACAAGAGTCTCGAGAGGGATCGCTTAGGTAGCCTCCCTGTGGGGCCCGAACTTGGTGGTTTGCGAACGGCGGGAGGTGAAATGGCGGGTGCGGACAAGCAGGTCAGTATCCATCACTACCGAAACTCAATTATCTTAGCCCCAGAGATTATTTTTTTGGCTAATTATGACTCCAGATGATGGATGAATTTTATAGCCAACAATCTGGAGCATCCCCCTTCGCTTTCGAATCAATGCGGCGAGAGCTCTCGGATCTGCAGCATGGACCAGCGCCCATGGCAGGCCAACCCTGGGCTTCCGAATTTGGGACCCAGCAGGCCATGAATCCTCAGGAGCAAGCCATGATGGAGGCTGCGTTTGTCGCCAGAAACAAATCTAGCGAATTCAGCACAGCAGAATTCGCTCGCTTCCAGAATTCCCCTTCCTCTGGTGATATCCAGATGGCATTACCAGCTCCAACTCAAGCAGCCTCGACTCCCTATTACCAACAATTTCGTGGATACAACAATTTCAACCAAGGTTTACCGTTCCAAGTCCATCAGCCGATGATACAGCAGTTACAGATGCAGAACCAACAACAAGACCCGAAGGGCAAGGGGAAGCAGGTTGTAGAGCTATCGGATGAAAACTGGGAATCCCAGTTCAAAGAAATGGAGGCCATGAACAAGACTTTAGATGCGGACGATCAGGCAAATAAGGATATCGAGGCCGAGCTAAACTCTCAACCAGAAACCATGTATGGTGATTTCCAGTCGGTATGGGAAGGGATTCAAGCCGAGACTGGTGGCGCTGCCTTGAACGGAGTGGACTGGCAAAACGAGTTCGACACGTCAAATCCCTGGTCCGCCGAGGCCTCGGCTACAAACTCTATGCCCAATCTAGGGGAATATCTCTTCGAGTTGGATAACCCATACCTGATGCATGAGGATCCATTCTCGGAAGGAAAGAGGCTCATGGAATCTGGTGGAAACCTTTCTTTAGCAGCACTCGCCTTCGAGGCAGCTGTTCAGAAGGATAAGAACCATGTTGAGGCATGGACAGAGCTCGGAGGATGCCAGGCCGCGAACGAGAAGGAAACACCAGCCATCCGGGCCTTGGAGGCAGCGCTAAAACTTGACGAAAATAACCTTGGTGCCTTGATGGGTCTCGCGGTATCTTACACCAACGAGGGATATGATTCAACGGCATACTCCACATTGGAACGCTGGCTCGCGACCAAATATCCTCAAGTTACTGAGCAAGCGCCTCCTGCGCCCATCTCAACACTCGATCGGATGGCAATTCACGAGCGAGTTACGAATCTTTTCATCCAAGCGGCTCAACTCTCTCCCGAAGGGACAGCCATGGATTCGGACGTTCAGGTCGGTTTGGGTGTTCTCTTCTATGGTGCCGAGGAGTACGACAAAGCCGTCGACTGCTTTTCGGCAGCATTAACATCTACTTCGACCGGTTCTTCGTCACCCGAACACCTTCTATGGAATCGCCTCGGTGCAACACTTGCCAATAGTGGACGATCGGAAGAAGCCATCAATGCATATGAGCGAGCCTTGACCATAAACCCGAACTTTGTCCGTGCAAGATACAACCTAGGAGTATCATGTATCAACATTGGATGTTACGAGCAGGCAGCAGAGCACCTCCTCGGCGCCCTTGCTATGCACAAAGTTGCAGAAGAGAGAGCAAGACAAGACTTCAGTGAAGTCGGACTCGACCCTGCTCGCATCGTACAGAACCAGAGCACCAATCTCTTCGATACCCTCCGACGTGTATTCAGTCAGATGGGTCGTAGGGACTTGGCAGAGCTGGTGACCAATGGCATGGATATTGATGTTTTCAGGTTTGTCTCCTTTGCTCCTTCCTCCTTTCCACGGCCAACAGCACACATTGACACACGTTACAGGAAGGAGTTCGAATTTTAGACAGGCCCGCAATCAATCGGTGTTCACTTTTTTTTGGCTATGACGAGGGCGAGTGGTTGCTCTATCTACTTATTTTCTTTTTTTTCTTCTACATTCTATATTTCTATATACCTACATGGCACGGAGAGTTTGCTACAGGGCGATATTGTTGGGTTCATAAATGTGGTCGGTGGTATGGGGGCTACGGCCAGTGCAGCATAAAATTTGCCATTTCCCCCCGCAGAATAAATCATAAATGAATGAATACTCTCGAGTGAGCAGTCATGATTCCTGCGAAGCGAGTCAGGAAGCGTGATATCAGAGCGCGGTGCTAACCCCCGGAAGACGATGGAGTACGGTACCGTTGCCCGAGGAATGGAGATGTCCGTTATGAAGGGGTGACTTTCAAGGTTAGCTGTTACAAGTATTGTTGATCTTGTCATATTTCTTTTTCGCCCCAAGCCAAAACCGATCCGCGAAGGAAATGAATAAGAAAAAAAGGAAGAACCCTCATACAAGTACTGCCAAGGGCAATCTCTTCCCATTCACGTCCCCAAGGACTAATTTGCGACGGCCCCGTTTCAAGTATGATACCGATATGGTGCCGGCCTTTGGAAATCGATCCTCCCCAGAGCGAAAGTCAATACGGTAGCGAACGCTCTGCAAGAACAGCAAAGTTTTTTGAGAGACGAATTCCATGCAACTACCGTACCTGCGCTCAGAATCAACCCCTCTTCCATAGACTCTAACCTTTTATTGAGCGAGTACTCGAGTACCGGTAGTCTATTAAGGCGTGCATTTTCTTGCCGGGCACGCCGAGGAAAATAATGCTATTATCATAATATTATGATATGATATCATACTACCGGTATGTGCATTGCGCGAACAAATTTATGCTAAGGCTCTAACTTTTTGCATCCGAGCACTGGTATGTGCCCAGTATTACTAAGCAAACTGAGGGGAACGGAGGGTTGGTTTTACAGTAGGCGTCCAGCACTGACGAAGTATGATACGATATTACTATGACAGTACAAGTACAAGTACGAGTACTGTACTCGTACAGTGTCCATGCCCCCAGCACCTCCGGCCCCATAGAAACCTTCAGAAAAAAAAGCATGCTCACAGAAACCCCCTTGTGTTTATCCAACAAGGTCCAGTACGGCACATACCCTAGCAACTAAGTCTTGGCGTAACCCCACACAGCACCCTAACGCAACCTCCCTCTTCCCTCCCGCCTTCCCCCCTTTACATAGTCCCTTCCCCCCTTACCGTGCTAGAAGGCACTCGAGCACATAACTTGCACATTCCAACCTTCACCTCACTTCATCCCATTCCAGCTCATCCCTCCGTTCTTCTTTTCTTATTCTCTCCTTCTCCTCTTTCATCTTCTCTTCTTTCACCTTCACCTCACCCACGACAGATAGCGATATCAAACAAGTATTATAACACAACCAACATCTAGTTCAATGGCACACGTGATGGAACACCCGGACACTACAAACCCAACGGCTTTCGACCCGTACTCAGCAAACGATATATTCCTCCTGACAAGCTTGACCTCGGGGTCCTCCGCTATCATCACGGCAACTAGTCGTCTTGAGCACCTTCTCAAGTCACATAAGATTCCATTCAAGCCAGTTGATCTGGCCACAGATGCGCGTGCCCGCCGGATCTGGTCTAGCAAGGGGAACGGCCGTAGACTACCTGGTGTAGCTAGAGACGGGGAGATCTTGGGTGTAAGTTGCCATTCCAAATCCATCAATATGTTGTCATCTGCAAGCGAGAAAGTTTGTGCTAACAAAGGGTATTATATAGAACTTTGAAGAACTGGAGGAATGGAACGAGTACGGAGAGCTCAAGCAGAGGCTTGGGATCAAGAAGACCAAAAAGAAGAAGAAGAAGGCTGATGGCGAGAATAAAGAGAAGGAGAAGAATGTTATGGACGGGAGCACAAGCGGGCCAGCTGCTATGGTTGGGTCAAAGCCAAATGCTGAAGTTATGGTTACCCCTGACGGCAGTGCTGGGGGCAGTGGTGCCGCTGTTGCTGCTGCTGCCGCTGCGGTCGCGGCGGGCATGAAGAAGGGTAAGGGGTTGAAGAGTGCTGTCGAGGGAGTCGAGGGTAAGAGAGAGACAAGGCCAGTCGTCGAAATTAGGGGTGACCTCGACGTTGAGGTTGAAACTGCGGTTGGTGGTGGGGAGTCTATAGAAAAGGGGAAGGAGGTCGCCAAGGAGGATATCAGGGCGGAAGTACCTGTTCAGGTAGCTGAACCCGTTGCCGAAGAAACTGTTTCTAAAGAAAAGATTGCTGAGCAGAAGGAAGAACTAAAGCCTGAGCTTACTATCGCCGAAGAGAAGGTCCTCGGGAAGGGGGAGCTGAAACTGGAGCTTGAGGAAGCTGCTGAGGGGGAGGGGTTGAAGCTTGAGCTCAAGGAAGCTACCGAGAAGGACGTGCTAAAGTCCGAATCTATTGCTAAGGAGAAGTTCATTGAGAATGTTGGTCCAGAGCCAGCGACTGAAGAAGTTGTCGAGAAAGCAGAACCCGGAGTCGAGACTGTTTCGGGAGTGGAAGTTATCGCGAAAGAAAACCCAATAATAACGGAGACTTTCCCCGAAGAGAAAGTTGTTGGAAAAGACGGACCAAAGCCGGAAGCTGAGAAGCCTGTCAAAACCAGAGAACTAAAGACGCCCGGGGAACCAGAGACGACCGAAGAATCAATGGCTCAACCTAAGAAAGTCAAAGAGGTCGCCACTGGAAGACATGAAACTATCAGCGAACCTGAGGAGGAGAAGGTTCTTGAAAAGGGGGAACCAATCACAGAGACCAAGCTTGGAGAAAACCCTGCCGAATCCGGGGAAGAGGATGTGGAGCCTGAGCCCGAGGAGAGAGTCGAACCTAAGGGAGAGAACATCGGGGCTGAAGAAGTCAAGGAGGAAACCGAGCCTAAACCTGTTGCAAAGGTTGAGGGAACCAAAGAGGAAGTGAAGGCCTTGGGGTCCGAGGAGAAGGTCGGGGGGGCTAAGGAAGTGGGGGCCTCGGACCCTGAGCCGGAGAAGATAACTATCGAAGAAGCCAAGGAGGTTGTGGTCCCTGAGCCTGCCGAGCCGAAAGTCGAGGAGGCCGAACTGGAGATTGTGGCTGTGGCTGAGGAGTCGAAGGTAGAAGAGATCGAGGACCAGAAGCCTATCAAGGAAATCAAGGAGGAGGAGAAGCCCGCTGGGACTGAAAAGCATAAGGTTAAGGAAACTAAAAAGGAGAAAGCTCCTGGGCAGTCAGGGCCTAAGGAAGTCAGGGTCGGGGCCAAGACTTCAAAGTCCCCGACACTAAAGGAAGAACCCGCTTTCTCGAAGTCTACAGCATCTGAACCAGTCGAAACGACACTAATCCCTACCGAGACCCCAAAGCCAGCCGAAGCATCAAAGGCTGCCGAACCGCAAAGACCCAGATCTGAGCCCACCGACACACCTACCCTGGATTCCCCTCGACCCAAAGAAAAGTCGGCAATAGAAATAACAGAACAAGCCCTTGAGAAGGGTAAGTCCACACCCCCCACCCTCACAGAAACCGCAATCCAAAAAAAACCTCTCCCTATAATGAACTCACTGAAGACATTACCCTTTCTTCAAGATACCAATTCTCCTACTCTTTCCCCGCGGTGCGATCCCAAGAGTGAAAAAAAAAAGTTACCAAATTGGAAAATGGATGAACCATAATTACACATAAAAAGGAACCCCCACTAATTTTTGAAAACGCCTTCCCGCATTTGGGAATTTTTTCTGTTTTGCAAAATTATAAAGGCAACCCACGCAGGACCAGATTTAGGAAGGGACTTTTGCGAATCCTTAGGATCAAAATACACACTTATCGGACAACCAGAGGGAGGAGTTTGTACGTTGCCAGAAGGCAGAGTTATCGGAGTCAGTAAGGTAGGTGCGGGCAATGGTACGTTTGGGGAGGACTCTGGGGGGGTGTAGGATAGTTAATACGAGATGGAAGGAGGGAGAGGGGGGGAGGTGTAGGATAATAGTTGGCGGTATGGCGGTGGGAACGGCGCATGGCATAGGATTATGGGATGAGATAGAAAGGGAAGATACACTTTCTAGTGGCTGGTCTAGGTCTCTCCTTTATTTTAGCTTTTACTTAACTCTGTTCTCACTTTACACTATATCTTAACATTTTTCAATTTTCTTTCCCCCTCTCTTCTCTTGACTGCAGCAGGCAAGCACCTAAGCATACCATACCCAAATTTCTCCTAGTTTCTTACAAGTATTTATTTATTCGCTCTGATTCAATTCCAACAATAATATCAACCCAACGCCCGATACTGCACCGCACATGTACAATTTGTCTGCTTTTTATTTATTTATCTAATGCTTTCCTTTTCGGGAAACCCTCGACCTTCAGCGTAACATGGAGTAAAGTCAGTTAGTTACATGCCTGCCTTCATTCCTCAAGGTGCAGTGTAACGTAATACAATACTCAATCTACAATAATATACTTATCGTATCGTACCAATTTTAACGTGTTTTCCATACAATCCGATCCATCCATCCATCCAGGACGCAACAATGAAGGAATAAATAAAGAGAAGAAATGACAGCATAAAACTCATTCACCACGCAAACAATAAGAGACAACAAGACAGCTTGGTATAGTATAAGTCAATTTTGGTATGAAGGAATGAAAGAAAGGGATATATAAGAACGAAAAAGTGGAAAAGAAACCACGCCGTGCAAAATGACAGGAAAGAAGTGAAAGAGGAAAGGAAGAATTTTTTTATGTAATCCCAGCCAGTCGTCGAGTGTTCAAGAGGCGGAAAAAATAAGGTGGTAGAGTAGAGTGAAGGAGGCTAAAAACCAAATAGAAGATGGAACAAGGTAAAAAAAAAAAAAGAAATGGGTAATAATAATAATAATAATAATAATAATAATGCAGACCGCCCAACCCTAGATAAACAAAAAGATAAATGGACAAAAAACAGCGCAAATCAAACTTAAAACTCAAAATTCCAACAGGGTTCAACAAAGAAATCAAGAAAAAATGGCAACCTCAAGCCACGCCATCAATCGACCCATTCGTCCCCTTCGACGTTCCAACCGCCATAGTAGTAGCCATACTCCCCGTCGCGGTCCCATAGGCATTTGCAAACACCTCCTCTTCATAATCGCTTTGTTCTTCGACAAGCCGGACGTGCTGTCCGATGCCAAACTCGCACCTGAATCCCAGGAACTCGACCACGTCGCCAGGTTTGCAGTCCTTGAATAGGTAGACAACGTCGCCATCGTAGATCCTTCCGATTCGGCCCTTATGCTTCTTCTTCCCGTTCAAGATGATGCCGTTGGTGCCCCTCACGTAGTACCAGGCGATCATGTTATTCGCTGGCTGGAAGCTGCCCTCGTCCACGTCGTAGTCCGGGGGCGAAAGCTGGAAGGCAATGTGGTATTTTGATATGCGTATGTCTGTTTCCGTGTGGGTGCAGCTCGCGGAGCGGCCGATGCTGATCTGGTGTCTGTTCAAGGAGATGGTTGAGTGAGGGATTGAGCCGGGCATGGGGACCAGGCGGCCCCAGGGGGTTGTTGGGACGGCGAATTGACGGTTGTGATGGTGATCAAAGTTTGTGGGCTGGGTGGGGGGTAGGTTCTCATCTGCGGGTATGGCCAAGGGGGTGGTGGGGGGTGGTGGGATATTGGAACTGAAGAGTGACACAGGAGTGTAGAATTCTACTGCCGCCTGGGATTCGAACGAGTCGGGTTGCGGGCTTGTGCGGCGGGAGCGTTGATGTGGAGTCGGGGTAATTTGGCGGGCAGCAGTCGGGGTAGGACTATTGTCCCTATTATTACTATCGCCATTCATGTTCCTGTTGACTGCTAGCGGTGTCATTTGGTTTTGATGCTGGAATTCCCCGTCGGTGGGGGAAGGGGTATCCTTCGGGGAGGGTGAATGGACTTTGAGTTTCCCGACCATTGCTTCAGCACCACTAAGAGAACCGCCGCTAACGCTTCGACTAATGGAACCAGAACGAGTACCTTCGCGTGGCTTAATGACGCGGAGTTCATCATATTCAAATGGTTCGTGCGTCTGGGAGGATGGGACAAAGTCCTCTTCTACCTGTCGGCCATTTTCCAAGCTATCATTGCCGTCAGAGAACGCGGAGTATCCATGGTCTGGAAAGACACCAGAGCTCCCTTGAATAGAGATACCGGGAGGGGGGTGAAACATCCTGCGTGACCCACGATTGGACTCTGCGTCTCCAAGTGATGCGAAGGATCCCTCGGAGCTCCCGCTATCGAACCTGACAGCAGGAATGTGTATTTCACCCTTGAAACTTAGGCCGGTGACAGCCTTGCGAAGCTGGACGTCCTGAAGCTCTTCGCGCTTGGGTGTCTCGATCTCCTCGTCATCGCTGTCTTCCTCGTCATTATCACTAAGCTCCTCTTGTTCAAGCCTGCGGGGGCTCGCTGTGAACTTGGGTCTAGCATCGGGTCCTTGGACCATCATCCACTTCTCCTGCTGCTTCTCAACCTTTTCGAAGCTGCTGATGGCGTTGGCTTCCTCATCATCTTCTTCGTCCAGCCCTTCATCCTCATCCTCTTCTTGGACTTCCATACTCGACTGTTCCTCGCTCCCGTCCGCGAGCCAAGGGTGCCTCAACGCTTCAGTCTCCATTATCCTCATTCCTGGGTTAACTTGTAAAAGTCGCCTGATAAAATCCTTTGCTTGGTGGGAGCGGGCCCCCAGACGCTTCTCGAGAGGGGCCACATCGAATTTGCCAGAAAGAATAATCTTTAACATGTCGTCTTGGTTCTTGCCTTGGAATGGAGCACTCCCCGTAAGCAACATGAAGATTACGCAACCGAAACTCCACATATCGACGGCCTGGTTATATCTCCTTCTCTGCTTGGCTCCCCGGCCGTCTTCGCGGCCAGCTTCCTCCCTTGGATTACGCTTTCTCTTCATACTGCCGGCTTCTTCGACGAGGGCACTTGCATAGCCTGGGAAAACTTCAGGGGCAAGAAACAACATTGTACCACAGAACGTCTTGAGGAATGTGTCTTCGTTTTGGACCATTTTGGCAAGTCCGAAATCCGATATCTTGACCTGGATAGGGTCATCGCAGGCAAGAAGGATGTTGTCTGGTTTAAGATCACGATGGGAGATCCCCATGCTATGGACGTACTCGATTCCACGCAAGACCTGGCGTGAAACCTCCTGAACCATAGGCTCAGGGAGTGCTCCGTGTTTCCCAAGATATTCACTCAAGTCGCCCCCTTTTATGAGCTCCATGAAGATGTAAATGTGGGAGCGATCCTCATGGCAATCGATATACGAAACAATATTGGGCTAGCACGAAGGATTAAAAGCTGTTCTCCATCACCGCCAATACATAAGGTACTCACATGATTTAGCTTTTCGAGAATCTCAACTTCCTTTCGCACACCAAGTTGTCTATCACTGCTCTGGGCAAATGCTCGCTTCTGGATCGATTTTACAGCATAAGCATCACCTGTTCGTCTGTCGATGGCTCTCCTGACAGTGGCAAAGGCACCCTTCCCGATAATGCCCTCGAACTTATACCTTTCCCCACCATCCCATCCATCGTTATACTTCACAGCCTTCGCCATATGACGGCCCTTTCCCTGAACTTTAAAGGGATCTCGCAATTCTGCAGCGAGATGGCGAGCAGGTGACCGGGTATGTTTTAGAGGAAGTTTAGGAGGTGGAAAAGGAGGCGGTATTCCTGGATCCAGGCCAACATTCGCGATGCTGGGCTCGCCGCCGGCAGGGCTCGGAACTCTTTCTGATGCGAGTCTAGTACCATCTTGGGTCGGAATCCGAACTATGAACCTCAAGAGCTTTGCGCCAGGAGCAAGGTGAATCACACTTCCTGCAAATAGAGCACGCTGGTTGTCTGTGCTCTTTCCGCCATCCGCTCCCACGCCGCCGAGTTTGACATTATCGACCCAAGTCCCATTAGTCGAAGAGTCATGCAACATCAGCACACCTTGGGCATTCTGATATATCCGAAAGTGTAGATTAGAGATCCGTCGACTTTTGTTGGATTCCGTAAAAACAACGTCACAACGAGCCGGATTTCTCCCAAAAACAAAGCCGAGTTCAGGATCCTTAGGGCCCGGGGAGAGTCGAAGAGCGATATCTAGCCCTGAGACCTCAGGTTCGCCTTGCTGATTGGGAGCAAGTTGGGTTTGCTGCTCTTCTTCGTCCTCCTCATCTTCCTCGTGTTGGCCGGGCTCGGGCGTTGTCGATTGACGGCCAACCTGGGCAGCCGGGATTCGTAGGACGACACCTGGGTCTACCTTAGCTGTCTTTTCGACAATGGAGTAGGCGGCGGGCGAGCTCGGATGAAGGAGGCAAAGGACGCCCGCGAGGTAGTTGCCGTGAACGGTCGAGGGCGCGACTCCATTGTGGACAGGGAGTGGTTGGGTAGCGGGCTGAGTAGCTTCTTCGTCCATCGCTGACATTTCCTGAATCCTGTGGGAATTATGACGGGATGAGCTCCTACTCAAAGTTTTCCGCAGGGCAACTGCAACTGTGACCACAATTGAAGATTTGTACTCACAAAACACGACGCGATTGGAATCCAAGACCGAGTAAACAGCGGGGGCGGGGGGGATGAGGGGTATTTATAGTGGTGACAAGAGGGGAGTAAAGAAGGGTGGTGTGGGTGATGAGCCAATAGGTAAGAGTGATGGAGGGCAAGGTGGCTCTAAAAAATAGGCCGGGATAATGATTGAATCTCACCCCGTGGATATATTTTATCCCTCCAAACTCCAAGGCGGTTCTAACCCGACAATTGTGCGCAGACCCCGTTCAATCAGGGCGGGAATTGAGTCTAAATTGGAATATCCGTGGACGGCAGGAGACCCGGTGAGAACTGCTGGTGAAGAGCCCCACGCAATGGCCAGCCCTACGTCAAGATCTTGATGGAAAGTGGGTTGGTGGAGTGGGGTTCTTTGACCGTCGAGGTAGATAGCTGCCTGGGAAGCTTGGGCGAAGCGTGCGAATGGATTGTGCGTTCTCTTGCCCAATAGATAGACCTTTTGGAGCTTATATTAAAGAGTCAAAGAAAGGTTGCCGTGCGATAACTTGTCGGCTCGCCTCACAGGTCACTGAAAGACTGGACGAAAAGAGAAAGATCAAATTGCGACGTCTTTATTGGCGAGGGTGTGACCCTTGGTGCTGCTGCTCTCTTGCTTTTTTTCTCTCCCTTAATTCTTCCTTCCTTCGCTCTTTCCTTCACTCCGCCTAGCTCTTGTTCGCTGGAATGTAATGAGAGGATATTCCAAGAGGAACAGGTGTATGTTGGAGTGTGTGAGAGAAAGAGGAAGCAGCGGGGCAAGGAGAAGGGGAGCAGCCTAAGAGGATGCAGCCGAGGCCGGGCAGATGACGGATGAGGGAGCCTGCAGGGGGGGAGGTGTGGGAAAAGTGGGAAGGGCGAAAAAACCCCCCCCCAAAAAAAAAAAACCTTAAAGGAGAACGCGTAGCTCTAGGACACCACCTCACGTGTCCACGCGTAAAGTGGTTTTCTGAGAGCAAAAGAAAAAAGCCTTGGGATCCTAGTGGATGGTATAGATCGGGAGGGAACGAGGTGGGGAACGAGGGAAAGCTGCGTAGGGGCGATGAGATGAGACGCGAGACAGACAGAAACAGGGCGAACGGTTAAAATCGAAAGGGAATAATGATATGATAAAGGGGAGGGGGAAAGCTTGGTGTGTGTGCTCTTCTTTACCGATTCGATTGTAGGATGGCAGTCTTTATCACTTCTCTTTTCTTTTTCTTTTTCTATCTTTCTTTCCTCCGTTCCCCCTGCATAAATTTTGACCCTGACCGTCGCCGTTCGCTGAGCTCGAGGAGTCTGCCTAGCTAAATCGAGGAGAACGAAGATGAAGAGGGCAAACTTCAAGGAAGGGGTACCGGTATTATAGAAATCGGGAAGAGGAAGAGCGACATGGGCATGGACAAGGACAAGGCAGCAGCGGAAAGGTTTTTAGAAAAATTTAATATACTCGTATTTTATTCAGAAAGAGAGGGGGGGAAAAAGGGCGGTATCATACCCACCCCACAGCACGGTATCTTGTATCCCCCTTTCACACAATCTTTAGAAATGCTTCAGATTTCTCCCCAAAAGCATGTACCAGCAATCCCTTCTCAGAGGCCTGACACTGGTACGATACTTGATAATGTGAAAGGCGGTAGTCTACAGCAGAGAACGCAGCAGGTGGAGGAGACTCGATCGAAGCGAATAGGGATAATTTAGAAGCAGCGGCCACACCAAATCTGGCTAACACCACCAACAAGCTTCTTTTCTTCACCCAGGCACACCCCCGGTCCTTCCCCGGCCGAGCAAGTTCCAAGAACCTGGACGCGGACGGTTCAGAAATGGAGCAGAGAAACGACGAAAGGAGGGAGGGGAAATTGACTCGAACGTTTACCGCTATTGTACGAGCACTCGAGCACTCGCACCGGTATAGTAAAGGTAAGACCTCTGTGGGTGAACCGTCGAGGGGGGGTTCATAGGGGGGCGCCTCGAACTATGAAGGTGCTCAAGACAAGATATCTGGTGCTATCCACGCAAAAAAAGGAGACCCTATTAATGAGTCAAACTTGAGGAAATGCTTGGTTAGTCATCCTCTTACTTTTGCGTCCCCGTTCGGGTTTGGAGAATCGGGTGTTAGGACAATGTCATACCATTATTATTCGTGGGAGAAATAGGAGTGGAAAGGAGAGTTGAAGATGGTGCTATGGCTCGGTGAAGTGAGGAAGGAGAATAAAGGTCGGACGAACATGAAATGTACTAGTAAACTTTGTACGAATGAATGTTTGTTTACCCATGGTTCAGAATGGGATGCAGGCGTCAACCTCTGTCCATTCTCCTCCTGTTTCCTGATTGTTTTGTTTCCTTTTTCAGTAACTTTATTATTCTTTTTACCCTTCGTGCATTCCCATTTATTGCAGCGACACTGAACCGATTGGGTGATAGGTTTACCGTAACATATGATAAGTAACTGGTGGAAAAGGTTGCCAACCGATAACAGAAACCGTAGTTCCTGTTGAGCTCGCTTCTTCCTTTCTTTTTTCCCTTTCTCTCTCTGCCTCCTCCTCTTCTTCCATCTATTCACCCTTCTCTCCCTCTGGCCTAAAAGGAAAAGAAAAGAAAGAAAATCTTTCGAACAATTGAATTTTCGGTACCAAAACCAATACTACTCGTACTGTATCATAGCAAAGATAGCCTTTTGTTTTTGTTTTTGTTCTTTTCTTTTTTTTTCTCTTTCTCAACTTCCCCGGGACTAACATTCGGTGATAGCGAACCCTCCTCACTGTGCGCGCCAAGACAAATACTCGCGTCATAATCTTCTCTTTCCCTCCTCTTCCTCCCCCTTAGCAAGCAATTTCACAACCACGTAGAAGAATCGGGATAGGGCAGCAACAAACAGCGATAGATAAACGGGCCCTCTCTCGCACCCTAAAACTTACCCTTCCGTACCTAACACAACCCTACGTCTCCTCACCCCCCCCCCAATCCATCGCCTTAAACAAAAGCGAACGACAGCGACAATCACCAAAAATAAAATCAAGAAGAAAAAAACAAAGTGCCAAACCTAACCTCATAACCGCCATACCCGCACCGTGACTCCAATACACACGCGCACACCCACCTACACGCACACATACGCAGACATACACCAAACCCTTGTTGGCAGCGGGAGTCACGCACGGACCATACACTTTTCTTAAACGAACGAGCACAACAGGGTGTGCCCGAAGGAGGAAAGAAGGAGAGAAAAAATATCAAGATGCGCCTCCCCACTTGTCCGCCCCCGCCTGCCGCTCAAACGCACACTCCACCTCGACAATCAGAAGATCACGACATCGATCCATCACCCATCTATTCACCACTATCCACACCTTCCCCGCAGCCACCCCCCTCTCCTCCGATGGCTGCGGCAGGATTCACAAACCCCCCCCGCTCTCCACTTCTACCTCCACCTCACTTCTCCGGCTCTTCTATTGCTACTGCCGCTACCGCCACCCCCTCCACCAGCACATCGCCTTCCCGCACCCCTTCGCCCAGATCTCCAACTCTCAAGCCAGAGACGAACAAAAACACCGACTCGATCGCGTTAAGCTCAGCTCTCCGGCTTCTCATCCTCCAACGCGAGCGCGCAAAGCGAGACATCCAGATACTCGAACAACTGAGAACCGAAGCTCTAGACGCTCCCGTCGAATTCATGAACGCCCTATCGCTAAAGTCGCCCCCCTCCCCCACCTCTCCTACCTCTTCAACTTCAATCCCACCATCTGGAGTGCGCTTGCCGAAACCACAGGAAATATACAAGTGTCCACCAATCGAGTGGGAAAAGTATAGGATTTTGCCCACCCCGCTGGAGCGGCTACATGAGGAACAGAAGAGGCTGGTCCCGCAACAGATGCAGACCGGAGGTGTGTTGGGCGTGGGCGTGGAATTTGGGGACACTATTGCTGGGGGAGATGGGATCCAGGGTCGTATGAGACTTTTTGAAGGCGTGGGGCAAAGAGGAGGGGTTGTCGGGAGATAGAATTGCCCTGCGGGGAAAATGGGGAATAGATGGGAGGATAAAGGTGAGGGAGAACCTGGAAAAGATGGGAGAGGAAAATGTGAAGGAAAAAAAAGGACAAAATATCGAAATAAAGTTTGATGGACGGTTTAAATGTCATACACTTTGCCTTTTCTTTTTATCTTACTTTTTACCCCTTCTCGCCCCCTCCCCCCCTTTTTCCTTCCCCTTTCCCCTGCTTGTCTCCTCGCCTCCCCTCTCTTCATTCTGTGCTCCTTTTCTTCTTTTCCCCACTGCTTCTTTCGATTTCAATTCCCCACCCCCTTCATTTCTTTTGGCACCTACGGAAAGTCGTTGTTATCTCCTGTTTTCCACTTTCTGATCTATTTGCCTCTTTTTATTATTCTTCTCCTTCTTTCACTCTATCTTTTGCTTCTGTCTATCCTACTCTATCTATCAAATAAACGGGGGATGTCGGAATGGGGGGAGGCTGGCAAAGCGAGCCAGGTTGTGCTGCGTTGAATCGGATTGGATGGGATCGGGTTGGATTGGATTAAAAGGTTGGCAATTGATTGTGAAGTATATCAAGTAGAGTACCAGTTAGTAAGCAACTAAGTAGGTTAAGTTCAAGCGGGAATGCAAGCATGGTGTGTGGGAAAAAGATATATTTGAAAGCACAGTCCAGTTATGAAAGCTCCTTGACCGATCGATTGAGATTGAGAATTTTGTCCATTTGCCATTTACCCTCTACTCGAGTACCGTATCCCTTTCATATCATACTCTACAAGAATTCTTACCGACGCCCATCACACACCACGGTGATCCAGCGCCGCTTGAATAAGGCTCTCATCATTATATACAAAAACAGACCTCCCTCCTCCCCCTTCCTCCCCAACCACCTTATCCGAAGCATAACCCAATAGCTCTTTATGTAGACTACTGCCCTATCATACGAAAAGTGTTGTTTTTTCTTTCCTTTTTTTCTTCTTTCCTTTTCTTGTTACCACTCCGCATCCCACGTGCTTTGTTGTGGTATTATATCAATTATGTCATGTTGTAGGGCTTGTATGTGGGGTTGTGCGGTTTTGTACGATACTGTATGATACGGTACGGTACGGTGTAAATACCGGTGTGGGAGGGTTTACCTTTTCTTCCCTCAGTCGGATGGTGTGTTGACCGAGTTGCACCTTGTCAGAATAGTTGCTTGATAACCTGACTGGTAAATCGATAAATAGCTTATAGAGAAACTGACTAAAATACCAACATAGTAAATTGCTTGACACAGGAGGAGCAAATGAGATGAAGTTGAACCCAGTTTGGATGGTGACTTGCAGAGACCAAACTGTCGTGTTGTTCGAGTTGGTTGAACTTGTCTGGCTATGAGGACATGACTCAGCTAGAAATAGAACAAAAGCACGCCCATCGAGACACCTCCCAAACAGGAAAAAAAAAACTTTGCAGGGTACAGACCACCCTGTATACACAAACATCCCATCACTTATACCCTAGCCCCCACACCGGTACTGCGCGGGGATATTCGGTAGAGACTGTTTTTTTTATAATATTCTTTTTTTGGGTTTTTTTATTATTATTATTATTATTCTTATTATTTTTTTTATATATTTTTTTATTTATTTATCTATTTAAGGGGTGGGGGATAGGTCGATAGATCCTATGGTGAGAGAGATGAAATTAGGTTTAGAATACAGTACTGTAGGAAGTATGATAACTTTGTAGTACTGTAAATAGAGAGAGAAAAATTAATATCATAGCTTGGTAGCGATGATAATGCTGGGTACCATTCCCACTCGTCCTCCGCCCATCGGGGGAAAGGAAAGAAAAAAAGAAAAAAAGAAAAAAAGAAAAAAAGAAAAAAAAAGGAGAAATGACTAGCTCTATATCATTTTTTCCACCCACCACTCTTCAAATCCTTCGAATCCTTCAGGATCCCGTTCATATGTGTATTGCTGATCTTGACCCTACGATTAACCGTCCTCTTCCTCCCCTTCTGCGTCGCCTTGACATCCTTCTTGACGGTGGCAGGATCGACGCTGGTAGGCTTCAAACCAGCCCTCTCCAGCTCCCCCGGTAGCTCCCCGGGCGCGGGGATGACGACCTTGTGCCATATATTCCTGAACTCCTCCTCGACGACGACGTCCAGCGTGCGATCATTGATCCAGACCATCCTGGGCTGATTGTCCTTCTTGGTCCGGGTGACCAGGATCTCGGAGCGTTCCTCCAGATCCGCGATGGTATCGATGGCCCCGGACCACCCGTCTTTCAGCTCCTTGACGCTGAGTCCCTGCGCCGTCGTCTGCTGCTGCAGGAAGGCGAGGAGGGCCTGCGCGCTGCGGATGTTGTGGATGGGCTTGAACTCAAAGGTGTCAGCAGAGGCATCGTAGGTTATGCGCTCGTTGCGCTTCAGTATCTCCAGGAGGGAGGGCGTCATGCTTATGGAGAGGTAACTGGCGATCTGCTGCATCGTTTGCGGGCTCTCGCGGGATTTAAGGAATTGGACGGCGTGGTGGACCTGCGTTAGGATGTGCTGTCCCATCAGGGAGGTGTCGGTTGGCTGGCTGTAGACTATGGGTGCGGGCACGGGCTTGCTACGGTCAACGATCTTTTTGCGCTTCAGCGTGGTCTGGGGCCCCGCGCTGGTGGTGGTGGTGGGTTGGGGGGCCGCCACAGTGCGACGCTGGCTGGTTAGGCCCGCTTGGGCTGAGCGGATGAAGGCGGCAGCTTGTTTATCGAGGGACATTTTTTTCTCTTTTTTTCTTCTTCTTCTTTGTGTGTTACGGGGTTTTTGTGGTCGTGGTGATGGTGTGGTGGTCGTGAAGGAGAAGGAAGAGGGTTGTTGATGTACCGGTACTCGTAATATGGTGGGCTAACTGTGGCTGACGCGGAAAAAAGAAAGAAAAATATAATATTCCCATCACACTTCTGCCAAGACTAAACCACGTGCTTCTCGCTACGAGTGAGTTACCATGAGTATGCCTTGATACAAGTGCTCAAGCATAGGGGATCAAAAGAGCCATAGTTATCATCAAAGGTTTCTTGATCCTCAAAACAAGGCCAAGGTTACCCGCTATCATACCCTCCGACTTGTGTGGTGAAAAAATGGAAATGAGGATTGGCGGGCGTTCGACAGCGGTGGGATGCGTATACTTTTGGATTCTCATGTCATGATCTACCCGGTCAAATACAGCGATTGGGCTGTACCCTCAAACTGTCAAAGGATTTGACAAAAAAAGTGAAGAAAAAACGGGCCAGAAACACTAGATACCGCTCCCCGTAACGTCACAGCGTTTGATATATCATGCTGTCGTGCCATGACCAGAACAGACACCTTCTCCTTTCCGATAACTATGTCGTAGAATACATACTACATACACACAACATACATACATACATACATACAAATCCTTGTTTTCTGCCTTGCTCCTGGGTGTGGTGGTTGGACAATTACGAATGAATGAATAAAAGGGAAAAAAAAAAAAAAAACAATGACACCTTAGTTTCGCCCGGGCCCTGGAAAGAAACCAGTCAAAAAAAGAATCAAGTAAACGATGGCAGTAGCATACGAAAATAATGAAAACCGACCTGAGAAAGAAGGCAATAGAGCAAGGATAGCGAAGTAAAGCAAGGAAAAATATAAATGTGGAGGTTATGTACGTGGCAAGATTTTCACCATTTGAGCAGTTCAAGTTTATGAGAGCAGACCAGAGGGAGTTATTGTTTCAACTCTTGGCCCTCTAACCCCTCCATTCGCACAGACACTCTCCAGAATCCTCCGAGACAACGGTTGGGTCGGGATTGTGTGTTGTTACAAGACCCTTATCCCCGTACCGGTCCTGGATAATACTAACAGGGTATGGAAAGTCACCTGCATCGGCTGGATCCTGAGCTGTGCGTCCTGGTGGATCGATAAGCTCTGCCCTCTCGTTCAAGCGCTTCCTCGTCCAGATGACGACCTTAAACCTCGTTCGCTCCCACTTGACGTCTGTGCCCGCTCCATCTGAAGGTAGTCCGCCCGCAGGATCAGTCGCTAAAGATCCATCCGGCGAGGCAACGCGGACGGTCTTGGTGTAGTACATGTGAAATCCATAATGCTCCGTGGCCAGCCCCTTATCGAATAACAGGAGCGGCTGGTCCTCGACGGTCTCCGGGAACAGATTCTTCACTGGCGCGGGGGGGTCTTGACGCTTGAAATGGAACCCCCTCTTCCTTTGAGGCTTGGGGGAGACAATTGTCCCCGACACAGGCGAAGGCATGTTATCCGTTGTCCCGCTCGGGTCCCGCGTCATCAGCGATATGTAATACTTTGTCCCCTCGCCGGATTTTGGATGCCCCTGCACGCCATCATCCTCTGCCACGTTGGCGTAGTCTTCTTTGTCCGGCGTCTTCTCTGAGGCCGAGGTCCGTGGGCCCGAGCCGGATCCAGTCCCCTTCTGGGTCTTGATTTTGAAGCGAAATTCAGGCAGGGCATCGCGGTGAGGTGGCGAGTCGACTTTGGGGAATGGTGAATCGCTAGGTAGGTCGCAGCTCCACAGAAATGGTTTTGGAACACACGAACTAAGCTCTTTAGGTATACCTCGAGGCTTGACGGTGTGTGGGCCCTCGGGCAGCCTCGGGGGCCTTACATTTGCTGATTCTTTCGACGCAGCTCCATCGCCCGAACCACGCCTACCCTCGCGAGTCGTCGCGACGCCGACTACAATTGCTACTATAACGATGACCAGGAGAATCAGACCCGTGACCGCAAATATGCACCTCCGTCCTTTCCTTGTAAGTCTCTTATTCTTACTCCCAGTCTCAACTCCAACCTCAGTCTCCCAGTACCCCGCCGTGATCTTTTCCCTCCAGCTATCCTGCCTACTGAACTGCCCACCCTGTTGGTCCTGCGGCCGATCTGCCAAGGCCAACACATGTAATCCCCTCTGCCCATTCTGTCCCTGGGAGTTACCATTGACCGGCGCACTAGCCGCAGACGCAAATCCTTGATGTCCATGGGTGTATATAGCTACTGGCACCATAGGTGGCACATACTGAACCCCGGCGACTCTGGCAGCTGCATCCCCCCATGTGGAACCCAGGACCGCGGGTGGTTGCGGTGCACCAGCGTATCTGGAATATGGAGGTGGAGCTTCTGCATCTTCGGCCGTTGCCGCAGCTGGCCTGTGAACTCCTCCTGCTACCGCATTTGACGGTACAACGATTGATAATTGGGGTGGCGCAGCGGGTACTGTCGCTGCCGCCGTTGATGGTGATGATGGTGATGAATTCTGAGCTACTGATGCAGGTCGCACCAATTGTTCTACCGAAGCGGTCCCTGAAGGCCTTCGTGGCCCCGAAGGCGATGGTGGATTATCCAAACCGCTCCGGTCGTCAAAGCTCGATAGGTGAGGGAAACCCGAAAGCCTCGAGTAGTCATTCGGAGTTAAAGGAGACACTATGTCGTCCCCACCCTGCCTTGGCCCCAAATCGCCCGCATCCGGCCCTGGTGAAATCCCTGGTGAAGGGAACGGCGACAAGGTTATCGGCGACGTTCGAGGATCAATTGTGAGGAACGGTGGTGGCATTTCTATATGGTGTTTCTGTGGGCTCTGTTAACCATTGCTCGACCCGCGGTAGGGTCCGGATACCGGTGTTGGGGGAGGAGCGATGGGAAAGGTAATGGCTCCTTACTCTCTCTCTCTCTCTCTTGCTTATCCAGTAGCAGTAGTAGCAGACGGTAATGGAGGGTATGTGGGGGGGGAAGGGATAGGACAGAATATGTCGAATATTCTCGACCAAACAATCTCCCCGGGGCACGAGATCCAAAGGTGAAGGACGTCAAGGAAATTTGATGACAGTCAGATTAATACGGAAGATGAGGTAGAAGTATAAGACGCGTATAAGCCATGCAATAGTAAGCGGCCGCTTTAACTCTCCAAAACACTTTATGTTTGGAACGAAACCAGCTTTGCAGTAGGCCCGCGCTGCCAAAGATTATAACCCAAATTGTTTGCCTTCCGTTTCGTTGGTTTATTTTTGTCGGAGAAAGGGCTGTTTGTCGTCTTCCGTCTCCCGAGACAGATGCAGTGAATTAAAATTAGGATGGATGAAAAATGAATGGAAATAATAATAATAAAAAGGGAAAAAGGGGAAAACAAGAACCAGAAAAGAAAATGATGGCCCCGCCAAATCAAGAAGGGGAGATAGATGAATGGAAGGAAGGAGAATAGAAGAAGGGAGGAAGGCAAGGTGAGGAAGGGAAAGCTGGTGATTGAGGCAGAGCAATGCCCACTTCATTCAGTGCGAGAGGGGCGTGGTCTCCAGCGGTGGCAGCAAGAAATCTGAGCTACGGTACCCTTCAAGAAATCCACAATGATTCGTCCTAGACAAGGCCAGGTAGGCGAGGCAGAAATAGCCAACCAGAGAATGGGGAACACATCCAAATTCAGCTCACAGGGGGAAAAAGCCCTCCTCCAGCGCTATGATATTCAGTCGGTAAACTCTGTAACAGGCGGAATATTGGCTATCATATTCCACATCCCCCAAGACGTCAGGGGGCAGCTGTTCAATGATAGGCTGTCAACCGTTGAGGTATCAGGGAACGACGGAACGGCGGGCACACACACAACAAGCTCGGCTTGGCTCAATCTAGTTTTAATGTGGTCCCTGAAGATACTCGTACAGTACTTGTACAGCATGAGTAGGGTACAATGGGTACCGACACCAACGATAGCAACACCAAGTAAAGCACTCGAGTACCTACTGGTATCATAACAGTTTGGATCCCGACTATTCATAGAGATCGCTCCAAGGGCCGAAAAGTTTTCCACAGACAACCTGCAACCCGAAGCGAAACCTTCCACCACTCTAAGCGCCAGAGGTGTCGATCCCCAAAACCTCCAGATCCAACATGCTCGTTTCAAAAAAAAAAGATCCCACACACACACCACACTGCACCCCTTTTCTGGTTCCTGAAAAAAAAGAAAAAAAAAAGCAAAGCGAGTTAGGCGACACTGCTAGCATACCGTACTCGAGTACACACACACAAGTGCAGTTCGATCGAATGTGGCACTTGTACGAGTAAGGTACGGTACCGGTAATCACTTGTACCCATGGAGCATCATATACAAGTACAAGTAATATTCTTGGCGAATGGTGCAAGATCAACGATGCGTCCTACCTTTTCAGCAGGTGGAGTGAGCGTTCACTTGTTCAACTTGCGGAGGTGGGTTTTGGTCACCTGCTTGCCCAAAAGTGGAGTAAGCATAAGCAGTACCGTACCGTACAGCACAGCACCCATGAAGGAAGGAAGGAAGGAGAAAGGGAAGAAAGGAAGGGGAGCATGAAGTATCCTACCGTAGAGAGAGAGCGCGATGGAGGGGTTTCTATTAATTTCAACAGCGATGATCCATCTCCTCGTTACAAATAGTTGACGACCACAATACCGGCAGGCAGGCAAAATTATGTTATAATCCATCATTCATAGGATAAGACACTGTGCGAGTACGGGTACTCGAGCACACAGGCTACAAGTATCGTACTGGTGCTGTGCTTACCGGTGCCGCTCGGGAGATGATCTCAAGTAGACCATGGTATGTCATGACATGGTACAAGTACGATACCGCTAGGACAAGTACCCTATGATGACAAAAGAGTATTCATTCAGTACCGGTACTGTACTTGTACTCACCAGTACTGCTATACGTAGAAAAGCAAGCCTCCAGGGTTCTCCCAAGCAACAACAGTAAAGTTTCGCACACACTGAGCACGGCATACCGGTACTCGAGTACAGTACCGTACGAGTACTCTGGTGTTATTCGGGTCTCGAGAGTCAAGCCTCCAGCACGGTAACGAGTACGAACACCCGCAAAAATGCCCAAAAAAGGGACACTTTGGCACTTGTAACCCCCCTTGCTCGCCCGCGCCGTTCCAACGTCGGGTTACACCCTAATACCAGTACGAGTACTCGAGTATGCAGTCCCACAACGTCGCTGCAGTTTACCGAGGAAGTTTAAACCTGTGTTAGGCACGATATCTATTTTTGGACCCGGACCTGTCGATCACCCTTTAAGCTACCGCGCGCTGGGCATCCTCCCGTGTCAAATGAAATGTTTTGCGACGGGAGGGAGAGGGAGAGAATTTGCGCTATGTAGCGGTGGCCATCCGGGGATTGTTTCGATGTTTCGCGGTATAGTATCGTACTTGTACGCTGGGAGTTTGCATACCGGTATTGGTTTGAGTAGCCTGGCAGGGAAAGGAAGATATCGGTTTTTAGAAATAGTCTGCTGGGAAAATGTTTTCCTCAATTTCCTGTGCGCGCACAGTACCATGGAGGGAATAATACTATTTATCGCCTCGGAACGGAGATAGAAACCCATTGCGGAATTCCGGTTCGGCAATCAGAATTGTGCGTCGGGGTTCAATAGACTATGATTTATTTATTGTATCATAGCTAACCACTGGCAAGCCGCCGTCGGGGGGGGGGTGCCTACCGTATTGATACGGATCGTGACATGTCACATCCGATCTTCATCATATCGGTGCAGTACCCGTGTTCCGCCAACGTGAAGATCGTGGCGCCAGCGGTGCTTGGCTTAAGATGCAACACCGGGGATCACCAAGATACGGGTAGTATTGTATCCAACTATCGGCCGGTATCCTAGATCCGGAGTATCAGCAATGGGGGGAATTCTTGGTAATGAGAGAAAAGCAGTACGGTAGTAGTAGAACGCGATCCGTTGGTTGACGATGATGCTTTTTCTTCTTCTCAGGGACCCAAAACTAGCCCTGCTCGAGCACTGTACTCGAGCACAGTACTCAGTGCGGTGCCGGTATGATACTTGTGCCATGAGCCAGCTTGGCGTGGGGGGGGGGGAAGAGGCGCACTTTGTGGCACAATCTAACTGCACCCCTTGCCCATCTCATCCAAGAACACCCTCAATCACGATATTGTGCCTTTAGTTAAACCTTTATCTCTCTTCACAGGGGCATTGTAATAATTATGAGGCTCCAAGGTTTAATGTTGTTATCCCCAATTTTTTCTGGCGGTTCAAGAATTTCTGTTTCCTGGAGAGAGGGCCAATACCGGTATTGCACTTCTAGGGGCAGAAGGGAAAGAAAGGTTAAAGCGATGAACGGCATTGTTGTTCGGTCATCATTGTTTCATTGCTTCTGGGGGCACGAGAAAGGGTGATGAACAGCGGTTGCGTGCTCGGGTACACGTACTGGTACAGTGCTCGTGCAGGCATTCTGGGTTACAGTGCGAGTAGGGTACTCGAGTATCTTACTTGGCCTGACCCGACTACTAGCTTGTAGACTACCTATCGAGCAAGAGACCAATTCGGAGCGTTTGCGCGCTCCACCCCATGATACAGTAAATTAACCATCTCATCGTCTCCCCTTCATCAATCTTATTGTTAACATTGGTATTATTATTGCATTGCTTAATAAAGGCTTTCCCTTGCGATATTACAAGTACTCGTACAGTACCGCACCCGCAGCCGGTATGACCTGCGCTAGGACGGGAGTGGCGAGTTTTACGTAGATTCGGGATAGTTGGTGGGTTGGTCTCACCATACCGGTAGGTACAGTACATGCTGCTCCATCCAGCTTGGATTGGCCAGCTCTCTGCCGCCCAGAGATAAAGAAGAATCGAGTATTTGGGTGGCGGGCGTCTATCGGAGTGTGCGTGCTGGTGCAGGAGGAATTGTGAGATTTTTTGAATGCGTCCTACCGGTGCATTACTATTCGGCTTTGCGGAGTGTGCTTGCCGCATGCGATACTCGTACTGGCACGACGCCGTTATTGTACGAGTACAGTTCAAGTACCCACCCGTATTCAGCTCTCTCTCTCTCTTTTTTTTAATTTAATTTAAGTTCTTTTTTTTACCCTCCTTCCATCGTTGATAACGGCGGTACCGGTGGTCTTTATAGTCTGAGAGCTGAAGGGGGAGGGCTGGGTATTCTATCCCGTTTTTAAGTGTTGTGCATCTAACCTTTTCCTCGCCCCTTTCCCCTTTCCGACCCTAATACCGGTACGTATGTCGTCTGTCTGGCTGTTTGTTCATGGATGGTCGTTCCGGGATGAGATCTGGCAATGGATACGAGAGGTCTGGCTTCTGCGTTGTGGATAGTCTGGTTATCGCACCTTTCGACGGCTCGTAGCCGTCGCATCTTTGCCCCCCCCCCAAGTTAAGGGATGAGACTGCAGTGATAATTTCCCTCTATGGAAATTAAGCTGTATGGCTTCCACCGGCTGCGTACAGAAGTAGTTAGATGGCCACTATGACACTTGTACTAGTACTTGTATCTCAGGAGAGAAGTGAGAAGGGCACGAAGCGAATGAGTGGGGGGGGATATTTGGTCAGACGAGACGAAGAATAAGAAAAAAAAGAAATGAAACTTAGAGTTGACGTTCTCTTCCTTTCCGCCTCAGTCAGCTCCATTTCCCTCAAAGGCTCTTCTGCTCTTCCTTCCATTCTTAGGGTGCAGTACAAGTACGGTACTCGAGTATACATAGCTCCTTTCTCTCTATAATATCACCTATGGTACGGTACAGTACCTTTACCCTTTTGTACCTTCTTGCTGTCACCTCTTACCGTACTGTACTTTTCCATTCACCTCCGGGGCTTCTTTCTCGAATCCTACCTCATTGTTTCGACTGCAGCAGACGATCCGGGCATACCTGATACAATTCACTCAGAATTGTAACCCCGTCTTGTCTTTCCGCACCCTCCAGCTCTATTTACAGACAGCTAGGAAAAGGACATACATATCATACAGTAAACCGTTTTAAGTGACCATAGGGGAATAAAACGGGATACGGTGCTGTGTTACAACCTGTACAGTACAGTACTCGCGAATTTGCTGAAGAGAGAGAGAGAGAGAGAGAGAGAGAGTAAGCAAGTCTTCATCCACAGCTGCATATCATCCGTCTATTCCCTCAGACTCTCTTCGTCCGAATATCCCACCACACCTCTACGAGACAGGGCGACCCGACAGGGAAAGAGGGCAATTGCCGACAAGACCTCCTGGAAACGGGAATAACGATATTGTAATAAATCGGCTAATCATTTGACTTGTATAGCCTTTCGTTCGTTCTGTCCTCTCGGCTCGCTCACTCATTCTTAAAACAAAGGAACAAAACCCTACGCCCCCCCCCCTCGACCGCAGCCGTGGCTCCCACAAACCGTCCACGTCGGCGCTCCACCATTGGAAGCAACACCGGCCCACCTAATCTCGGGAATACAGGGGCCAACCCGTCATCTGGTATCTCGTTGAATAACAATTCTGCTTCCCATTCATCATTCCCCCCGATACCTCTTACGCCCCTCATGAGTGCCGGGGGCGGCTTTTGGGGGAGCAATAGCGACAATAATAACGCATATGCCGGGTCGCGGGCGTCTACCCCGAATCTACCCTTATCAAGATCCCATTCGCCTTTGCCTTCTGAACGGTCTTCACCGCCCACTTCAGCGAGCAGTGGCGGAATGTGGCCCGGTCGAAAGGGTACCAGTAATGGGAGCGCAAACATTGGTGGTTACTCCCCTGCGAGGAAGTTCCTCGGGAAGCACTTGAGGAAGCTATCAACTTCTCTGCCAATCTACTCACCGTTTTCCCCGTCATACTCTTCCTCGTATCGTACTCCTTCAACACCCTTCCCTCTTGGTAGGCTATGGAGCTGCTTTTCGTTAAAGAGGTCCAAATTGAATACGTTTCTGTTACTGGTTGGAGCTTTCGTGATCTTTGTGTTTACATATTTACATCACAACCCTGTGTCGAGCAAGATTAGGTATGCTTCCGGAGGTTCGAAGATCGTCATCATCTTGGCCGCAAATCAGGGTGGTGGCGTCATGAGCTTGAAGGGAGCAAAGGAGTGGGCTGTGGAGAGAGACTCTATTGCGAACAAGAAGGCGTATGCTGAGAGGTGGGGATATCATTTGGAGATTAAGGATATGAGCACCAAGAAGAGATATGCGCATGAATGGAGAGAGAGCTGGGAGAAGGTGGATGTCATCAAACAGACTATGAGGCAACATCCTAAAGCCGAATGGTGAGTCTATTCATCCAGATTTTCTGTTTTTTTCCCGGGTTGCTGGTTCATGGATATTTTTCTGGGAGAATATGAAGCTCGGTGGTCATATCTTTGGTAGAGTTTTGGAGCGCATATGCTAAGCTGGATGGTTCTAGGTTTTGGTGGATGGATCTGCATACCTTTATCATGGAACCATCAATTTCCCTGCACTCCCACATCTTCCGGCATATTCAAAATACCACGTACAGGGATATCAACATCTACAACCCACTCAATATCACCCATCCCCTCCCGAAATCCGATTTCTTCTATCTGGATGGCGTATCCCTTAGCCCCGTTGGTGATGATAAGGCTGAGAGCATCAACCTCATCATCCCCCAAGACTGTGGTGGTTTCAATCTTGGCTCCTTCCTGATTCGTCGGAGTGAATGGAGTGAAAGACTCTTGGACATCTGGTGGGATCCTATCGGATATGAGCAAAAACACATGGAATGGGAACACAAGGAACAAGATTCGTTGGTTTGTTTCCCGATTTTCTAATAACTTGCGGCTGGGAGGCTAATTGGCTGCATAGGAATACCTTTACACCAATCAACCTTGGGTCCGTACCGGAACCGCCTTTATCCCCCAAAGAATGATCAACTCGTTCCCTCCTGGGGCCTGCGCCGAGACCCCCGATGATAAGAGAATCTTTTACGATGAGAAGGACCGTGATTTCGTCGTTAACATGGCCGGTTGCGAGTGGGGTCGTGATTGTTGGGGTGAGATGGTTTACTACCGTCAACTCAGCGAGAGACTTAACTCCGGTTGGTGGAAGAAGTCCTTCCGCTAAACCTTCAGTTATGCTCTGGATATTCGAGCAGTTTCCTCTCTGTATAGTCAAAAGGTTGGTGGAGGTTTAACGGCAAAATTAGAAGTTTTAGCGGATTAGAGGGTGGATAGAGTTTTTCTTTCTTTTTCTTATTATTATATCCCCCCCCTTTTTGGGGGGGAAATGAGGAATGAGCCTTCGTTTTTTTTCCTCCCAAGAAACTGTAGGCGTCTTCAGAGAGGGGAATTTCATTTTCTTCCTTTTCTATCTTCTGTTCACTATACATACCTTTTCTTCTTGCGATTGCCATACCCCTCTGGGTATAGATTACTATAGAGGTTGGAGGTTTTTAGGGAGGCCAAGTTAGTGGGTTAGCATGTGGGTCTTATTTTTATCTTTTCTTTTTTCTTTTCTTCGGTGTATAAAATAGAGGTTCTCAACGACTGATTCAACCACTTCCCTTCCTCTCCTGTTTTCCCGGCGACAATTCTTGATGGATGACGAAGACAAGTTTGTCGGGTTGCTAGACGGGATAGAGGGAATAGAGGAAGACTGGGTAGTCGAGCATGAAGACCGGGAAGATGAAATGCTCGAAATGGACCAATTCCCAGACTGGGACTTTCCTTCAGACCAAAGCAATGCTTCATCTTTCACTCTCCCCTTATTGTCTCCTCCACCCTCCCCTCCTCCCCCAGAAAACATCTCAATAGTTACCCACATCGAGAGAATTATCATCTCTCTAACCGCTACCCTCACACAAACCCCACCCGCCTCCTCCTTGAGCATCCCTCTCCACTCCCGCCGCCCGCAAACAACCTACTTCTCCCCGCACACCTCCTCAATCCTCCCGCTCCCGCACACCCACCCCTCGCATTTCACTAGTACAACATTCCCCCGAAACCCCCGACAGTTCGCCTGCATCTTGACACTCCTCTCGATCCTACACGCTCACCATTCCTCCACCTCAACCCCCTTACCGCCCCCGCTAACAAAGCGTCAAATATACTACCACAATCCAACCCTCTTCCGCTCCCAACGCAGCATAGATCACCTACTGGATTCCCTCGCCGCGACATTCCGCCTAACGAGGCGGGATCTGGGCATCTGTGCTGCGGGGAAGGGACTGGTGTACGGGGATATATATATCGGGGGAGCCTACTTTGGCGGGGAGGGCAGTGGTGGGCTCATACCGCCCTCATTCTCGCACGAGAGCGTAATGCTAGCAGCGGGCGTGAGAGGCGTACTCCTCGTCGAGAAAGAGACCATCTTCCGAGCACTGAGTTCCCTCCGCTCGGGGATCGTGCAAGAGGGTTTGGTCATGCTCTGTGGGAAGGGGTACCCGGATTTAAACACCCGCAGGCTCTTGCTCCTGCTCTGGGAGCGGAAATGTGTAGAAAGGGTGACTACTTTGGTGGACTTCGACCCGGATGGGGTGGAGATCGCCGCGACCTACAAATTCGGTAGCACACTGCTGGCACACGAACGTGTAGCAGTGCACGGGGTTGATGTCGCTGGCGTTTTATCGCGGGATCTAATTTCCCTGATCACTTCTGCTACCGCGGACTGTGGTGGTGGTGGTGGGGTAGTGGTGACTACTCTCACCCTCAGAGACCGCAAAAAGGCCCTGGCGTTACTAACCAGACCCTGGATGCCCACAACACCATCCTGGAAAGTGGAAATTCAAAGAATGTTATTCTGGGGCATCAAGTGCGAGGTGGAGGTCTTCTACTCTGGTGCCTGCTTCGCACGGTGGGTTTTGAGAAGGGTTGGTAAAGCCGTTACTTGATCATTTCCAATACTGGTAGATGTGTATATAGATGGCAACCCCATATCGTCATTATGAAGGGAAAAGCGAAGACCACCCGTTAATACAGCGAACCGAATGAAACCGGGCAAGCCTAGGATTGAAATTACGGTACATATGATACAATCGCAATTACCCACCCATGACGCCCCAATCACCACCCTTCCCTCTCCCCTCCACTCAGGCCCTATGATACCTCAAATCGCCCTGGAGACCCCCTTTCCTCCCCTCACCCCCCCTCACTCCTTCCCCACCCACCACCCATTTACACAATAATCATCATAATACTGTAATATTATTATTATGGAATATCATAACAAATTACCGCCCGTCGAACCCATTCACCAACCATAAAACCCCCCAAAACGCACCGCACCGCACAAACCGCAAAATACAAATCCAAAGCAACAAACACCACACCGCCGCAAATATTTCAGGGGATAACGTTTTTTAGGGGTGAATTTTTCCTCCTTTGTTTTTTTTAGCGACTTGGAATTAACTTGTGGGTGGAATGTTGTGTTGCGGGTAACTGCAAGTTGTGTACTTGAGTAATCGTCCGCCTTGGAAGGGTGTTTGTGGGAAGGTCTTGAAGTGAGAGGGGGGGGGGAGGAAGGGTTATTTTTATTTTTTATTTTTACTCGGGGTAGTGTGGTTTTGGGGGATTGTCGTTCGATTTCGTGCGGGTGGGGTGTGCTTATCATATCATACGTGTTGTGCTGTTGGTGGGAGGGTGTTATGATAGGAATTTTGAGATTTGCGCTTACGAGAAACGGGAAGGAAGGCTGTTCGCTGTAGTCTACTGGGTACAAGCGTCGTGAACATGAGAAACTAATTCGTGATGATAAGGTAAGATAAAAAAGGGTAGGGATAAAATCAAGAGTATCTAGATACTTGTAGATACATCAACTGCCTCCCTACCTACCCTACCGCTTTCCCCCCTTCTTCTTCTTCTTCGCTTTGTTCGCGTTAACCTTGAGTACGTCCACCCTCCCACCGCCCGCCAATTCCATACTTTCTTCCCCACCCGTTCCTCCTCCTCCCCCACCCTGTGTAGCGCCACCGCCACCCACCCTCCCCCTCCCTTTCTTCCCCTTCGGTTTGTACCCACTCCGATCCCATAGCGGCAACCACCGTTCGGGATCCGGCGTCTTGCTGGTGTCGAATTTGTGTGCCTTTTTCTTATATACAACCTTCACCCCCACCTTCCCACTTAGCCCCTCCGCCTCCTCCGTGGGACGTTTCCGCGGCGGTGGTTGGGCAACGCCTGCGGCTTCCAGGGCTGCCACGTCGATTGTTGAGATTAGTTTTTCGAGGGGGGTTAGTTTTTGTTGGAGGTGCTGAGGAGGAGGGGAGGACGCGGAGGAAGAGGGGGTGGAGGCGAGAAGGCCCGCAGTTGCAAAGGGGTCACTGGGGGAGTGGTTTAGTAGGATCGTGAAGATCGAGTGTGCCGAGTGTAGGTCTATGTCTGTTGAGGTGGGGTTGTCGAGGTGGGCTTTTGCGGAGGCGCGGAGGAGGGGGTGGTTCTAGTTTTATTATTAGCATGGGTACCAGTAGGTTGGTTAATGAAGAGATGGAGGAGGATTCACGGGAGTCGGGGAGTTCTTCCAGTGTTCACTGGCTTTCGAAAGGATGTCTCTGACATGTTGACACCTGCCTTGGTGCTGGTAAAGTCCAACGAGTAGGCCGATCACACCCGGGAGGTACTTTTGGTCCTCCGCGGCAGCGGATATAACATTTTCTACTGCGGCAATAGCCCCAGTGATATTCCCACTGCGCATACACAATTGTGCGAGAGTCAATGAGAGGCCGAGGTCGCCGGGGCTCTTCTTAACTAGCTTCTCGACTTTGCCCTCACGGGCGGCGGCTAGGATTACACTTGCCTCGTTGTCGTGGGGGTAATTTTTTAGGTGCGCTAGAGCCTGTTTCTTTGAGGCTTGGGTCTTTCCGGCTTCTAGTTCCAGCACTGCATGGTTTCTGTCAAGTATCCTTGATTGAAAAAGGAATGCTTTTGAGGAGGCGGATGTGGTAGCTAACTCGGCCGACGCGATGAGTGACAAATGGGGGTTGTAGTCTGGCAGTCGAGAGGTTATAGCGATCTCGTTGTTTGTAGCGACGACTTTGAGTGAAGTGTCGGTGATACTAGCGCAATCCAATTAGCCACCCTGTTCGGACTCCAATATTTGTGCGAGTGCAAACCTAGGGACATCCAGCTCCTTCGACCTCTCCAACGCCTCCTCCCACCTTCCCATCTTCGCAAGCACATAAGCCTCTTGAGCTAGAACCGGCGCAACCTCGACCTTCCTCTCCTCCTCGCTAAGGTCCTCCAATAGCAACCCCAACTCCCTCGCCCTCTTTAGTAAAACAAGTGCCTGTCCGAACGCGCACCGGGCAACAGCTCCACATGCGGAATTGAACGCTGTCTCGAACGCATCCAGAGCGCTCCTGTCAACCTTGTTATCTCCCCCCGCTGTCGCTGATCCGTTCGCCCAAATCAATTGTGCGTTCGTGGCGCTGATGTTGACCCTCATATCATAGTCTTCGTTCTCCGCTTGGTACCCGCCCCTGGATAGTCCTGCGTATATCCCCGCCGCTTGGTCGAATTTTTCCAGTCTGTATGCCTATCCATCGTATCCCTCCATCAGTCGTAGAACAATTCATGGATGGGATTTGGGGGAAGATCATACAGCTTGAGCCTCAACATGCCTCAACCCCCTCTCATCCCTCCCACCGCTCCGAGCGCCCTCCACCGCAGCCGCCAACGCATCCTCCAACCTCCCCAACTTATAAAGGCAATAAGCCCTCTCTAGCACCGCCTCGCCTGCCAATTCCGGCACCGAAAGCACGGAGAACGCGTCCTCGTAGCGGTCGAGGTTTATCAGCGCTACTGCCTTAGTATGCAATGCTCGCTTGTGTGATTTCTCAGACTTGAGGACGTTGTTCGCATGCTTCAGGACAGAGGCGTGGTCGGCATCGCCGGTTATTGATAGGGTTGATAGGAGGGATTCTAGTGTTGCTGGGGTGTATTGTGACATTCTCGGGTTGGTGGGGAAGTTTGTGGATGGATTTTGATGGTGTCCGGTTGGATGGTGGGATGGAGGGGTGAAGTTGGACACGTGTGGCTGCTGGTTTAGGTTTAGTTGGTGTGGAAAAGCCACACTCGTGTAGGAAGGGATTGCACAGTTTGTCACTCGGATATAAGTTCCACGTTCACAGTTGCCTGTGATATCATGCTTGTATGGAGGAAGCGATTGTGTTTGAGGTTTTGAGGAGACATTCTAAAACCAAGGTAGATCTAATTCCCGGACCAAAAATGCCCGACAGGCTACTAAAAAGGAAAACAGCGAATAAAGTGTCATATTGGAGAATGGGGGGGGGAAGAAATGCCCACCCCGAGAGTTGCCTTTGAGGTATGCAACACCCCAACTTCAACCACCAGTAAACCAATCTAGTCTATTTAACCGTCAAGAAGGCGATCCCCTCCCGGGTAGTATTCGCAGCAGCTGCCAACGCACGGTTCTCCGTATCCGTCCATTTGACAGTAAGTTCGTCCCACTTCATAGTCATGTACTGCCTTTTGTGCTCCCTCTGCATATCCTGTAGTCTTCTTAATTCCCTAGGGTCTCCGGTACCGGAGTACACAATGAAAGCAGTGCAAGGTGGCAAGGAGTCGTAGATCTGCTTTAGCTGGGTTGCAACGTCCCTGACTCCCTGGGCAATCACAGCATGATTCGACTCGGTGTTTTCAATGGGGATGGGAGGACCCTCCTCTGGTGCGGCCGCCTTGTTCCATCCGCGGAGAGCCTCGAGAGCATGCATACGGCCCCAGACTAAATCAAGTTTAGGATGCCCGTCACGAGTGCCGGGAGGATCCCCACAGATAGATTTTACAATGCCTGTAGCTACCTCTGCGTCGTCCTTTGCCTGGATCACTCTGGCAGCGCTAGGGCTCCACCATTTGTCCGGTGTCCCGTAGTCGACGACTCCACCAATGCGGGGTACCGGCCGCACCCTGGATAGTCGTTTGAAAATGCTCTCGGCGGCCGCGCTGCTAGTTCCATATTCGAGCCCTCTCTCTAGTTTGAGCTTTAAGAGGTCCAGACAGGCTTTTGCATCTTCTATCGAGTCATGACCGTTTGACCCGTCCTTCTGAATCTCGCGTTTAAGGTGCTTCGTGGAGAGCCATTTTAATGAAGCTCTGTATGGGGGTCCGCGGGGGTGATTGTAAATTACCGAGGTGTCTACGATATGTGGATGGGCTATTTTGATGGCGCTGAGATCGGCGTTGAGGGATTGTCCGACGAGAATTGTATCGTTATTGAGGAGCCTTAAGAGGTGGTTTTGGACATCTTTCAGGCTAGTGGTGACGGGATCGAGCATCGCCTTGGTCACGCCGGAATACCTACTATTTATATCAGCTTCATATCTCAATGGGGAGAGATGAAGGGGAACTTACGGCGTCAAATAGTCTGTAATAGGACTATCGGGCTTAACCAGAGTATCATAAATCGTCTCCCCATCCCAACTCACGAGACTGATTCTCACTAGTTCCAACCCTTGCTTCGTCTGCACCATCTCGCAGTCCATAGCGTAAATTGTCTTTGCCTCTGTAACGGAACCACCCTCGTTATTCTCCCGACCATTCCCCCTCGAAAGATCCGTTTCAACCCACCCAACTTTAGTAGTTTCTGCCACAGATGAGGTCGTAGCATGAACAGAATGGACCGGATACTCATTCTCAACCAGTTCTCCAAAGGGCATAACAAGTCGAGTGATGCCTATCCTCTGACTCGTTGTATACTTATCGGGATCCTGTGGGGCCTTCCCTTTAGGAATAGGTGTATTTAAGAATCCAGCTATAGCGGAGTACACCCTCCCACGCTCATCCCCAGGGGCTACAACTGGCCAAACATGGGAAAACATATCCGCGAACCCTCTCACACAGACCTGTAATTGGGCCTTTTTAAGTTCCTGGGGAAAAAACGCACGCTTTCCCCAACCCAGGCCCGGCTTTGAACCAGGACTCGACGATTGGGCCGTTTGGGCAGACTTGACCAGATCATTCCTATCAACAACGACTCCCAAATCCTCCTGATTCTGCCCTCCACCCATAGCAACGGTATCAGAAGTAAGGTCCAGATCGCCATTGAACATCGCCATCTCCAATCCAGGAACCATGACAACCACAACCCCGCGAATCTCATTCTTATTCTTGACAAGCAGCCACTGGGGCGCAGTCCCGTCAGCCAACAGCCACAGAACAAGAGACTGTATGTCACTGAGCTTGACAGCGTTTTTCAGTCTGGCAGGCGAGACTTCGAAAGACGGATACTTGTGTTTCGACTTCTTATGTCGTTTAGCTATCTGCCACTCCCCCCCGCCGTCATCTTCCCCTACTTCTCTTCCCATCGAATTGACTGTCGTGGCGGTGGTGGTTGCGGTGTTGGTGATGGTAGTAGTGGTTACGGGATTAGGGGTAAATGGCCCAGATGTACTGGTCAGCTTGAACTCTCCGAACTTGATGGCAGGAAGTGGCGGTGGGGAGGGTGCGTCGCGGGCGTTTGACGATGAGGACGAAGCCTTGGGTGGTGGGAAGGCGTTTCGGTGTTTGCGTTTTCCCATGGCTGCTACTGTTCCTCGTGAGATTGATCCCGGGAGCAGGGCTTTGAATGGGAGGGCTGCTCTTGAGAGTGCGCGGAAAACTGCGCGGAGGGGCGTTAAAGGAACTATGGTTGAGATTCGAGTGGCGAGGCCCAAAAAGAGTTGGTACAGGAGAGGGAGAGGGGATTTGAGAGCGGTGGTTGTAGTTTTCTCCGAAGGGTGATGGCTTTGGGTCGTCTGATAGATGAGACGAGGCTTCGACGAGTTTGCTTCGCTGTTTTGTGCATTTAAGTTTTGGCGGGGGAAATTTTTTTAATTTTGACATCCGAATGCCAAGATTTACCGCATTCGGGACTTGGTATCATACGGTACTGTACATACTCGTATCCTCGTTTTTCTGCATCATTATTGCCTACGCTTCACACAAACCCTACCATTAGACTATGGACATTTATCATACCAACTGCTAACATCTGCTCTTTCAATTTGTTTCAAAATGCCATTCATCACGAAAAGCATCCGGCAGTGATTGAACATCATTTTTCATTTATTTATTTTAATTGAATTAAAAATCACACAAAGCAATAACACGACAACGTAGCCAAGGAAACGCGAATCGGAATAGCACCCTAAGAAACTAAAGCTTTGTTTTTTGGTTTTTGTTTTTCTAGGGAAAGAAACGCTACAAGCTGCTTCTCTAGTTAAGAAAGAAGTTTGTCATTTGATACAGCCAACCTATCGCCATTTCCGCCAGCAACTAGTAATCCAGTTCTTCGACTGACTTTTTGCCCTCCCCACCAGCTGCATCTAGGTCCATGTAACTCTTGACACTCCTTCCCAACACCGCCAATTCTGCCTCTCCCCCACCACTAGTACCACTGCTGGTGGACGTGGGTGCGGCGCTAGGGGTTCCTCCAACAGGCCCAGATGCTCTATTGGCAGGAGCATTGCCGGGTTGCCTCGCGAGTTCCCTCATCTCTCTGTCGCGTCTCTCCCTCTCCCTCTCCCTGTCGCCCCTATCCCTTCTCGCACTGTAGGGAGCGAACCTCTCCCGTCCAGTGCCCACGACTATGGGAAGCCCTGCAGCACCCATCGGAGGCACCCTATTCTCTCTCCGGCGCTGTGGACCAACCCCGTTTCCACCATCCCTACCTCTACCGGCGTCTGGGAGGCCGGGCCCAGCGGCTGGCATGAGGTGATTCGGCACGTACTTATCCGCACCGTTGCCGTGGTGCCCTGCGAAGAATGGCGCATTGAAGTTGAATCCGGGGGGTGGTTGGAAAGTTCCAGGCGGGGGAGCAGGGCCGCCGAAAGTGCCCAAAGACATCATCGGCGCGAACCCACGGTTACCACCGGTCTGAACGGTCTGGAACCCTCCTTGGTTGTTCTGTTCTATCTTAGGAGGATGAACTCTGCACGGATCCAGGACATAGCTGTTGACTAGTTGAGCTTCTGTCTTCAAAAGCTGCAACCATTCGCCATGCTTTTTATCCAAGTGCTTCCTCCAGAACTCCTCGGCTTTGAACAACTTGGTACACCCGGCGACTTTACATCGGTATTTACCTTCATCTTCTTGCTTCATGCTTCGTTGGACCTCATCCTCGACTGCTTCAGGAACAGGCTTGCCACCAACTTTCCTAAGCCTGTCTTTGTAGTCTTCATCATTTGGCTGTGGGGGACTGACGAAAAACTCCAGTTTGTCCTGCCAGGCTTTGGTCCAATTGACGGTGCGGTTGTCCGGAGCAAAATCACTGGCCGGGGTAGGGCGGCGCATATGGCCGCCGGGGCATTTCCTGGTGAGTTCAACAATGGAGTCGGATGAGGAAACACAGTAGATACAAAACGAAAAGACCCGACGAAGGTATTCCACCCCCATATCGATGGTCTTCTTGATGATCTTAAGCTCGACCTCACTCTCACCACTCTCCTCCCCTTCCTCCTCACTCCCCATCCTTTTCTCTCGCTCACCACGGCCCCATTCCTCAACTTTATCTTTGATCATCTCCCAGCCGTCATATTCTATCATTGAATCATCGCCATCGCGATGAAGCTCTGCTTCCAGTTTCTCGATACATTTTTCAACCAACTTGGCTTCTCTCTTCAGATTCTCAGGCAGACTCATGGCTTCGTTTAGAACCTTCTTGGTTCTAGCACTAGTCGGTCCATTATGGATTCCCACATGGCATACAAAGTCGCCGTGGACGTCATCGTGAATGCTCTTTCCATTGAGAAGTTCGACGATCGATTCATCAACTGGTGCGGGCTCAGATGTAGGGTCTGTGTGGGAAAGAAGGATGAAGCCGATACGGTGAAATTTCTTTAAGGGATTAGGGTCCGAGAGCGAGATATAGTGAAAATTTGAAAGATTTGTAGAGGCAAGCTGTTCACAATCAGTCGCAGCTCAACAAGGAAATGCGAAAGCTTAATATTAAAAGTGGATAAGATGTTTACCTCTTCTAATTGAGCTCGGCTGACAGTAGGACTGATAGTCTTGATCAACAATACTGGTTTCAGACCACCGTCTTCGACGGTTCTATTGATCTCCTCAATCTCCTCACCAGGCTCAAGACCAGTATCTTCGGACTTTGGGGCAGTGCCAGTGCCAGTTTCACGGTCAATGTTATCTAAAGCCCCACTCTGCATTTGAGCCCTCCATCTCTCGAAGGCCCCTCTTCTATAGTCCACTATCTTCGCCTTTGTGACTTCCTTCTCACCGGGGACGTAGCGTTCTTTAAACCATTCATCATTCTTATGTGTGGTCACAAACAGCTTCGCGAGGCGCGCAGTAAGTTCGTCCTTATATTCATCATACTTCTGCTTTACCTCCTCCTTCATATTAGGGCCAGTCCCACCTGGATTTTCCTGATGGTACCAATCAGAGAAGTAATTAAACGTGACTTGGTAGTCTAGCCTATGAGGATCGAAGTACATGGGAGGGGCAGTCCCGTTGTGTGGTGGAACGTAGCGATCAATTGCGCCAGGTTTCCCAACCATGGGAAGCTGGGGGACGCCATGCTGAGCGTACTCAAAGCGCGAACGAGAAGGTGAGCGAGAGCGACGGGGTTGAGGAGATCGAGGCACATAACGATCGATATTCCCACCTACAGGGGGAGATCGTGAACGGCGAGGTGGTAAACGACGCATGGGGCCTGCAGAAACCAACCCCGTCAGCGAAACTCTCTCCACAAGGTGTGCGCAGAAAAAAACAGAGTGGCCTGAGAAAAATGAGATCACACGATGAGCTAAGCTCCACCCGCCGCTGACCGGGCACCAAAACAAAATGGAAATAATAAAAATAACTCGTGCGAGAAACAAAGGCAAACCGCAGCTAGCACACGCACCCAGAATGCGACGCAAACAACCGTTATTGCAAATAAAGGAGGTAGCTTACCAGGACTTCTTCCTCGCCCTCTTCCGTAACCCCATTCAACGTCACCCAACCGGCTATAATCGCTCTCCAATGTAGCGCGATCCCGACTTCCCCGGCTCCTGTCCCTATCCCTGTCACCGCCATTATAGCGGTCGTTTCCAGGGTAAGACATTGTCTTTATGAGAATAAAAGTATAAGGCTCTCGGCTTCCTAGTTGTTGAAGAATAACGAGCGAATCGATGGTGTGGTGCTGATTGACCACGGAGGAGTGGAAGGAGGAGAAAGTCCCTCGTGGAGACGTGACGTAGGCGTAGTAGGAGAGATTGAATAGGATCTGTTGTTGCGCCGAGCCATGACCCAAAGTGTTAAAATAAGGATCAAAAAAGAATAGAGGAGAGAGAAGAGAGAAGAGAACAGTAAGGAGTAAGGTTTGGTTTGTTTGGAAGAGAAAAAAAAAGGGGGGGCAAGAAAAGGGAAAGAAAAGGGAAAAAAGAACAAGAGAACGAAGCGACGAAGGAGGACGGTTCAGGTAAAGGAGTAGGAGTACGGTAAGAGGAAGAGTAGAGGAGAGAAAAAAAGGAGGAGGCAACACACAAGAAAAAGGAGAGAGATATGAGCGAAGCGGCTCAGATGGATGAGATGGTTAACGATAGAATTTCCACGGCCAGTGAGAAGTGATAGCAGCCCCTAGATTAGAGAGGAAGAAAGATCAACAAAAGAGGTTGTAGATGAGTTGTGAGTGTGTAGGTGTGGGTGTGTAGGAAGGTGAGGGATTGAGAGGATGAGCGAGAGTGAGGTGAGTGAGATGTGGAGAGGGGGAAGGAATAGGAAAGGGCCAGGGCAAGGGGGAAAGGGGGGGGAGCTGACTTTACAGGGGAAGTCAAGAGCGATGTGAGGAGTGAGTGAGAGAGGGAAGAGCCAAGAGCCAATCCAACCCTCCAGCCGCCAAAACCCAAGACACTGAGGAGACACCAAGAAGAAAAGCCGATGGACTCAACAGGGGGACCTGGGACGAGTGCCTGGAATTCACTATCGTACCGGCACTGCACGGGGACAGTGCCGCATGTACCTGTACCGGTACTCGGGTGCTCGCTCTTTTGCTCAGTGCTGTTCCCACGACAATAGGCCAAGAGATCTGAAGGAGGTCTAAGGTGTGGCGCAACATTCCTTCCTAAGAAATGGTAGCTGTTGTCCCGCCTGGGGAAACCTCCACATCCATGGTATCATACCACTATGATACCCTACCAGGCACGTCATCAGCAGACTTCAAATTCAATGATCATAAGCTATGATACTAGTAAATTTCAGTCGTCCCATTCGTATCATAATATTATAGTACCATTCGCCACTTATTCCCTCCTTACTACCAAAAAAGAGAAGAAAAATACCAATCCCCACGATCCATTCCAAGATGTGTCCAATCTCTCACATCCCCTCAATCACCCGCCCAGGCCTCATCTTCGCAAGCCCCGCAGCTTCTATCCTCCTCCTACCAACAATCCTGGGCTGTCTAGCGTGTGTATAGAAGCAGTGGGACCCACTTGCGGCGTGGTTTACGGTACTGTATTGGGGTGGTTGGGGTTCTGAATGGATGGGATATTGGTGGGGTTTGGGAGCTGGAGGGGGGGGAAGCGAAGGAGGGGTAGTACGAGTACCCGTAGAGGGAGTAGGGGGAGAGGGATGGGCTCTTTTGAACTGGTGGAGAGAGGGGGGTGCGGGTGGCGGGTGGCGGGTGGCGGGTGGCGGGGCCGCCAATCGCCCGCCTGGACTTGGCATATCATACCTACCGTATGATACAGGTCCCTGGCATGAATGGAGCGAACATAGTGGCGGTGCTGGGGGCTGAAAGGCCATTGTCTGAGACATTAGATTATCCCTGTAAATTGCCGAAGTAGTTAGCATCAAAATAAAGAAAAAGGGGGAGGGATTAATCAAAAGGTGGATGTTTTTCTAGGTAACTGCATATTCGTAAAAAGTATCAGCAATCGCCAATATCATAAAGCACCACAAACCAAAAAAAAAAAAGAGAAAAAAAAAATAGAAAAAAAAAATAGAAAAAAAAGACCTACATTTCCTGTAAGTAAACATTATATCCATATTGTAGAATTATGAGAAATCACTTACCTAGAAATAGAAAATGATGGAAGCCCAAAGATGTGAATGGGTACCTATAAACAAAGATGTGCAGTCCAGGCCTTGCAATCTTCTGCAGGCGGGATATATTGACAAATTGCTAACAATCAAGGACTAAGAGTTAGCATGGTCTTTGACATTTGTTAAGCGCACTTCACCTCGAAAAAACCCAAGGAACAACCCTTTTCCATCGATACGCTGACTCGGCATCGTCTTGTTGCTACTGTAATAACAGGCACTGCTCATAGATGAATGCCACTCTCTGAGGTGGCAGCAGCCTGCGGCATGCAAGCATGTCTGAGAATCCTCCAGAAAGCCTTCCGTAGGGAAGGCTACTCCAGGAGAGTTGCTTGCAAGAAGCCATTTCTTGATAAGCAGACGAAGGAACTTCATCTTGCTTTCGCGATGACCCATCAGAGGTGGACAAGAGAGGATTGGCGTTGGGTCATCTAGACCAACGAACGTTATATCTGGCTCTCTGGACATACCAATTATGTCTGGGTGACCAGACACCCTGGAGAAGAGTTTAAGGATGATTGTCTTATCCCTAAGTTTGCTAAGAAGAACTCTATTATGGTCAGGGGGGGGAATTTGTAACGTGTTCGCAAAGTACTAATCACATTATCGGTAAATAGTACGATAGTTAGCAAGTGGCCCGTTCTACCAGAGAGGAGGCGACAGCTGAGAACTAAAGGAGATTTTGAAGGTGAACTGAGAAACAAAGAAGTAACTGTTCAACCAAGTATATTGAAATACTGTCTGTCGAAGTCGGCCTTTTCCATCATGGACTCAGGCGGTCTTTAAATACACAAATCTGTTCATGTCTAGCATAAATGGAACTAATCAAAGGTATCAATCGATACACTTTTGTAAAACTTATTAAGTATCAAAGCGATACTTAAAATAAAACATAAAGTAAAACTAAGTATCAAACGATACTTAAAATAAACCAAGTATTAAAGCAATACTTAAAAAGAAATATAAAACAAAACTAAGTATCAAACGATACTTAAAACAAACCAAGTATTAAAGTGATACTTAAAACAAAACATAAAACAAAATTAAGTATGAAACGATGCTTAAAACAAACCAAGTATCAAAGCGATACTTAAAACAAAACATAAAATAAAACTAATAACCGAGTACCTGTACCGGTTACATTCCCCAAAATAAAACAACTGTTTTAACAAACAAAACTTAATAATCATCAAAAGTGGAATCCAAGAAACTAAATGCTGCAGTCTCTGCTATGAGTTCTTCATCATAAGTGTCACACTAGAAACAAGAGGAAATCCTAAGAAAACATTGAGACTCAAAGAAATGCAGATCAATGTAGTCATGAATACCAGATTCATGCTGTATATCTACCCAAGCGTTATTGCAATCGGGACAGTAGTCTACCTAGAGGATGGCGAAGTTGTCTTCAGGTTGGATAGCATCGCGGATCAACAACAGTCTAACAAGCTGTTGTTGCAGCCTCACATTAAGTTCCACGTAGTTTAACATAGTTATGGTATTCGAATGATAAATGGTGACTAGATAAGATTATTGAGAACTTGTGTAACGTGTTCACAAGGTGCTAATCACGTTATCGGTAATAGATACGATAGTTGGCAGGTGGCCTGCTCTTCCAGAGAGGAGGCGAGAGCTGAGAACTAAAGGAGGCTTCAAGGGTGTACTGAGGAACAAAGAAGTAACCGTTCAACCAAGTATATTGAAATACTGTCTGTCGAAGTCTGCCTTTTCTATCGTAGAAACAGGCGGTCTTTAAATACACAAATCTGTTCATGTCCAGCATGAACGAAACTAATCAAAGGTATCAATCGATATACTTTGGTGAAACTAATTAAGTATCAAAGCGATACTTAAAACAAAACATAAAACAAAACCAAGTATCAGACGATACTTAAAACAAACTATAAAACAAAACCAAGTATCAAACGATACTTAAAACAAACCAAGTATCAAAGCGATACATAAAACAAAACATAAAACAAAACCAAGTATCAAATGATACTTAAAACAAACCAAGTATCAAAGTGATACTTAAAACAAAACATAAAACAAAACCAATAACTGAGTACCCGTACCGGTTACATTCCCCAAAACAAAACAACTGTTTAAATAAACAAAAACTAATAGTCATCAAAGGCGGATTCTGAGAAACTCATGGCTTCAGTTTCCGCCAAAAACTCTTCGTCATAAGTGTCACACCATGGACAAGAGGAAATTCTAAGGAAACATTTAGACTCAAATAAATGTAAATCACAGTAGTCACGAATACCAGATTCGCGCTGTACATCAACCCAAGTGTGATCGCAATCAGGACAGTAGTCTATTCAGAGGATTTCGAAATAATCTTCAAGTTGGATAACATCGCGGTTCAACAACAGTCCAACAATCTGTTGTTGCAGCCTCACATTGAGTTCCACATAGTTTGACATGGTTATGGTATTTGGATGGTAATTGGTGACTAGATGAGGTTATCGAGAGCCTGCTCCATAGCTTGATTCTCCTCATCGCTGCTTTCGAATTCTGACTCAAAGTATGGCGCCCAAAATCCATCTCTAGCTTCGAGTTCTGCATACTATCGCTCAGTTTCCAGCATCGTGGGTGTTCAGCACATGGTGATGTAGTTGATCGTTGGGGGAAGAGATCCGTTTGGCATATTGTCTTTCCACCATCCGTTCACCATATCCATCGCGTGCTCTAGTCCCTCCAGTGGTTCCCAACTGTTTTCGCTCGTCGGATATCCTTTCCATTTGACTAGGAATTGATCATTTCCATGCCAAAGGCGGTGGTCTCTGATTTCTTCAACTTCCCATTCATCTTTCTTATCGATGATAATAGGCGCAGGCTGAGAGTGGGTTCTTCCAGGAAACTTGGAGTCGTCATTGGGAGGGAATCGTTTGACAGCTGAGGCGTGGAAAACTGCAGTATTGCGGCGGTACATGCGTCCATCCATCTGGACAGTGTAATTCTCTGTATGCTCGTCAAAGGATATGACTTTGAAGGGTCCTCGCCATCGGGGTTGTAGTTTCTTGCTGCGTCCGACATTGGTAATAAACAGGTTACCGTGTACCATGAGCATGTCTCCTGGTGAGATGGGAACATGTTTGCGTCTTCGTTTCTGAGCTGTAGTGGTACTTCGGAATCGGGCAGCCTTAACAGCTTGGAAGGCGTCATTCTGAATTGCTTGATGGCGGTTTAAGTGGTCATCGGAGGCAGGGACTGAGGAGTTCTTGAATAGAGTTGTAGGTAGGAGAGGGTATTGGCGGCCAAAGACTACCTTGTATGGCGACATTCCCAAGGTATCTGAAAATCCGGCATTGATGTATGCAGCGAGTTCAACAAGCGCTGGTTCCCAGTTGGTATGTCATTCATTGATCATGTTCCTAATTCCGGTCTTGACCTCGCGGATTTTTCGTTCTGCTTGGCCATTAGTCTCATGGTATCCAGGGGCAGCCATATTGTGGTTTATTCCGAGGGAGGTCAAGGTTTGCTTCCAGAATCTGGCGGTAAAGCGGGGATCAGCATCACTGACAATAGATAAGGGGTACCCATGGGGGGTAAACAGGTATCGTTGGAGGTTATTCCAGGTGTCTTTGGAGGAATTGGTAACCTTCATTGGTATGAGCCATGTGTATCCAGAGAATCGATCCACAGCTACCAAGATGGTATCATATCCTGCCGATTTGTTGAAAGGTCCTGCGAAATCGATGGCATAGGATTCG